TCGCTAACAGGACATGAATACCAGCCAAAAAGTACGCACTTTTTAGCCATTAGCACATCTCGCACTGCTGAATCTACTTCAATGACAATTGCACAGGTTACACGACCCTCACGATTACTTGTCAATCTTTTCACTATTTTCACGTTGTTTTCATTAAACTGATTTTTTGAGCATAATTCATTCAGAAATTTATCATCAGAAACTTCAATAGGAACCCGTCGCACAATCATTCGGCATTTTCGCGCCTTAGGTTTTTGTACGGAAATACCCAGTGCTTCAGATTGTTTAACCAGGAGCGCTTCACCTTTGGCTACGTCATCAGAGCTTTTGAATTCGATTACAATGGACTTACCGGATGCGGGTCGAATTCCGGTTATGTTGGCATTTTCTGCTCCATTAGGAATGACGGTTGTAAGGGCCTTGCTGAAATCGGTAATTTCTTTAGCGGTTGTGCGAGAGAAGTCGGTATGGGGGTGACCTTTCGGCCTAATAATGAGGACACTTTTCCGGTGGGATGGCGCCGAGGAGGACGAAGTTGCTTTTGCGTAGGTTCGTTGCGGCATGGAGACGTCGTCAGTTTTCGCTTCTTCATAGAGGCTGGCTAATCTGTCCAAAGATTCGTTATTGGATATCTTTAATTTCGCCATATCGCGATCAAGTTCTTCGACATTGGTTTGGTGGACGGTATCCATCTGCTCCACAAGGGAACGCAAAGTTTCGTTTGCACTCTGCAGGTCCGCATCTGCTCTCTCACGTATTTCCCGTTCAACTTTCAAACTTTCCTTGAGTTTGACATTTTCAGTTTCGAGAATAGTCACACGTCCGGCGAGAGATGACAGCTCCTTGCATGCTTCCCGAATAATAGGAAGCAAGAGGTCAAACACATCTCGGTTGTTCGGTGAGGGTTTGTAGGTCGACGAGTTAACATAGCCATCCATCTTGGCGACCAAATCATTTAACGTGGAGGTCATTGTGGCCGGCGCACTACGGGCCGGTTTTCCACTGGACTTCGGAGTACTCGTCGGCGTGGGGACAACAGGCATGATAAGGGAGATAATGATACACTTATTAAGTTATCATTTTTACTTCAGTAGGAAGCAGAAAATATTAGAAAGGTCACGCCTATTTGCTCAGAAATTCACTGCACAGAGCTAACCAGGATGTATTTGTGCACGTGGTGAAAAAAGTTAGATCCGCACTCGAGCTGCTCAAAAGCAAATCACAAAATAAACTTCGTACAACAATAAAATAGACTTCGAGAAATATTTCATATGCAAAACCCCAGCGAGGCCAGCTACGAAAATATTTTAAGCATGTAGAAATGCGGACAGCTTTCAAGCTTTCCGGTTAATTTCGACCAGTTTTATAAAAATTGTGAAAACCTCCGTAATTTTTGTTTTTGTTTGACTTTTTTACGTTTTTAATGTAACTCTTTAGTTGCGATCTAGCTTACTCAAAACGTGAATTTTCTGGTACTAAAGATAGCATTTAAACGGTGATAAAATGGATGGAATGGGATCATTTACACCATGCCCATAAAAAACCATTCTGACCAAAACCAGCTGATATGCTCAGAATTAATGGAAACTTGTGCGAAAAAATTAACGGCTGTTAGATGTGACCTCGCAGGCCGCATCTTCAGCTACTAATTGTAGATTTTCAGCCATTCAGTGACTTTTCACTCTTCAGTATTTAATAAAATAAAATGGATACATATTTTTTAAGATTTAAAGGTTAGTGAATATCCAGGCTACCACAAGTATTACAGAGCAACGTAGGTGAAAATGAAAACCCAAGCTGACACCAGAATTACAGAAGAACGTAGGTCAGTGAAAAACTGAAAACCAGGGCTGTCACCCGTATCATAGAACCGCTACGTGACTAACGTCAGTGAATACGGTAAACGGGCCGCAGGCCGGCTTTTACATATTTAATAAGTTGATTTACATGTATAATAAACACTTTTGATCGTGAGATATTGAGGAACTCAGATTTCTAGATATTTTTGTACTTAATTTCGAAACTCTGGAGTCTCGAAAAATCAGAGGTAACGGCCCCGCGCAGCGGGGCCGAGTCGAAATATTTAGAAATTCTGGAAATGTAAAAGCTTTGGAGCCGATTTTGGAAAAATTTCTAGTTATTTTGAGGTATAAGAACGGATTTAAAAATATCTTAAGGTTCGAGAACTTAAAAAATAAGTTATAGGTTTGATGTAATTGACAATTTTAAGGTGAATTTCCACTCGAATATGCCCAAGTTCAGTTACACAGGAACCGATAGAGAAAACATTTCTCTATCCACCAATGTAGACTTAAGCAAAAAATCGTACAAAATTTCACGATTGAAAAACTAACCGAGACCCGAAGTTTTTGACACAACTTTCATTACTGCGCAGCACACGTGATATCTCTGTTCATAGTGGCGGCAAGTGTGCTGACCACAGGCCGCACAGGCACACGAAGCTGCCAGCGGCAGGAACAATTACATGTTTGCATAAGATCAGAAGACACGCGCGCTATCCTAATTATTGGGAAGCACAATCACTTTTATTACCTTGTTTTCCTATTTCTCACCACTGGCGTTTGACCATCACAGAAGCACTTCTGATCATCTGATAGAATTACGGCACTCTTGCGAATGTAGAAAAAGAAGAATTTCACGTTGTCACTTTCCATCGCAATCATTTCTCATCACGACGTGATGACAGTCAAACAGTTTGCAGTATTAGGTCTACCGGTACATGTGGTTGAAGTAAATTGTGAATTTTGCAATATACATTTTTCCAAATGGCGAGCGTATCCGTACCGGCTATTTCAAAGTGGTCAACAGCGCCCGAAGATGATGACGAAGAGGTGTATATGGTTAGCAAAGGTTAACGATTTATACATTATTATTAATATTGTACCGTACTTTCAATTTTTTCGCCATCGCAGTGTAAATTTGGTAGCGCTTCTTTATGTCATCGGTGTCCATTTTCCCCACTTTCTTGAACACCTTTGCCAACCAGTTGGGAGTATCCAAACTACCAAAAAAACATTACTAACTTGCAACTTTAAAGTTTAGTTACGAATTACTTACTGTTGCTGTTGGAAGAGAGCTTCGAGCTTCTCCATCGGCAGTAAGTATGGGCGACACAGCCAAGAATTACGGTAAAAAAGAATTGAATGGCCGAAAGACGAAAGATTGAACGCGATTGTCCTTTGCAGTCGATTGCGAAGCCTTTTATATGGATCCTAATTACTGTGCTAATTACAGCACGGTTGTGCAAACAGGTGGCCTGATGAAATCAGGACTGACAACAGGATGCGCACCACTCGAACCCAGAATTAGCGTGCTGTCCGGTCTAGTCTTGCGTTCGCACAAAAGTTGAATTTCTCAAATTTACAAATGTGGGGCAAATAACTTGGGGTTTTCTCCGATTTTGGTTTTGATCAATACATTACATGGAGAAAATTCCCATACACATTCTGAACCAAAATATTGCCTATCTGACGGAAGGTCACCGAGTTATACCAGGTTAAAAATTTAAAAAATGTGCCGCGCAGCTGTTTTTTACGCTAACATCACCATTTTGGGCTGAGTAATTTGACGTGTTTAAGTTTTTAAACCTTTTCCGGCGATAGCACAGCAACCGGTTATTGCGCGCACATTTTGAGTTTAAATTAGTATAGCTCAATGTTCTGAGCACAGAAGCCAGTAAAGTACACTATGGAACTGTTTACGAGCCCATCATGGCGTTTTTTCTAGCAAAAGGGGTGCAAACGAGTGGAAATTCAGCTTGTTGTTGTTGTTGTTGTTGTTGGGATATACAGCTTAAGTACGATTCATTACTTAAGATTATTCATTATTCATTACGATTCATTATTTAAGTACGATTAAGGAAATTCAGCTTAAGTACGAGTAACCGTTGTTTAGGTTGCTAAGTTGCGAAACTTGTATTTGCTCATTCGAGACGTTTCCAGAATTTACTGGAAATTTCTAAGAGCTTTAAACGCTAAGTACTGAAAGTTTGAAACGTTTTTGGAAACGTTCCGGAAACCAAAATTTTTTTCCAAGCTACAGGTAGGAAACTGCAAGATGCTGGCAATAAAAATATCGAAAGTTGAACAAATTGAATCTCGAATTAGGAGATATTCTCCAAAAAACGATTACTTAGGGACATACGGATCCACTGAAAACGCTAAGTACTGAAAGTTTGAAACGTTTTTAGAAAAGTTCTGGAAACAAAAAAGTTTTATTCAAACTACAGGTAAGAAACTTTGAAAGACGCTGGATTTTATAAAAATATCGAAATTATCACAAATTGAATCTCGAATTAGGAGATAATCTCCAAAAAGTAAGGACGTAAGGATATATGAATCTATTGACAAGAAACAGCTGCGGCTTCGCCTCCGCGTTTCTTGTGATCCACGGCCAGAATCAACGAAAGCTCTGCTACTTACAGATACTGTATTTATGTAGAGATTTTGAGCACTGGATAGTGGTGGTAGCTCGGTAGCACACTCACTCAGTTAGCGATTTTGTTCACTCGGCAGCAGTGTAACTCGGTAACTCACTCGCTCAATTAGCGATTTTGTTCTAAAGTTGATTTTGTGGTTGGTATTGTACGGAAATCAGTTCAATTTATTCGGTTTAATTTCGTATTTGAAAATGTGTGTTATGTGTTGTATCCAGGTAAAATTTCTAGTGAAACTGGACTGGATCGTTTGCGGCATCGTACCGGCACGATTCCGATCGCACTTATTCAGAAAAAAAAATTCATGTGACGCAGTTCTGGACCACGGCCGATCTAACTGTAGTATCAGATTTTTTTAAAAGTTTTTGGTTAGTGAGATCTCCAGACTGTGGGGAGGCCGCGCATATTATTGATCTTTTTCTTAATACGAGGTATTTACGCCATCGTGTTATTGTTGTCACAGATACAGTGCAATTGCGAATTTTGCTCGTAGTAGATTCCAGTTCTTTATTAAGCATGACAGGTCCCTTCTAGGATAAATACTTCTTATTATACTTACTTTAAGATTTCAAGGAAAACCAGTTTCCTGATTAACGGTAGAGTAAGTTTGAGTATGTTGCCGTGAAAATTTGTTGTTTTCTTGAATCAACTAATTAACTATATTAAGATAATATTCACTGCACTTTGCATGAACGAAAGATCTATTTTCAGTCCATGGATTTATACGACTATCTTATATCGTTGCTGTTTGCTGTCGTTCATATTTGGGCTCTGGTCCAGTTTCGGTCAAGGATGCGAACCAGTTGTTCGGACTCGCGATCGTAACATATCGTTCTGTGAGTGTTCTTCCTTGGTTTATAAATGACCAGCGTCAAAGCTGTAACAACAAAATTGAGAAACTATTTATTTAAACAAATTAATTATCAAGAAACTTTTTACCGAAATAGAATAAAAATGAATGCAGCACCGCAACAATTGTGTTTCCTGCTTTTGACATAGGGTTAAGCCGTTAAGTATTGTTACTCCATTGATAAATAAAGTACGAATATTCCTTTCGGGAAAATGCGTAATCAAATTAAGTTTCATTTTTTTACGTACTTTGAAAATGTTATTCACACTTCGCATAATTACTCAATTTACACGTCCTTAAAATTTAAAAAAAAGCCACTTGATCACGATTCGCCAGTTTTATTATCCTATAGTCCTATACGAAAGGGAGTTTTATGGGCTGCAGCATACATACAATGGACACCATAAATGTGGTTACACCGATAGCCGATAGCGCTATGCATGCATACAGCTATCGGTGTAACCACATTTGCGGTGTCCACTGTATGTAGCGTACCGTGATGAAAACTATTAAGGGATTTGGCCCGGTATTGTATTGTACAGATTCATGGTACCAAATTCGTACACATGTCCGAAAATTCACTTTCGATGCGCTCCGAGACATTTCTTTGCTTTGTTTAATTATGACATTTTGCAGCCAGATAATTGGCCCCCTTAAGCTTTTTTTCACACTTCTAATAGGTTTAGCCGGACACCACGAGTAGTCACACTACAGCTAAAATTTGATTAATAAAATTAATATTAACAGCGTCGCAACTCGCAGGCCAGATATTATTCGTATACGTACGTAGCGGTAGGTGTAAAAACCGTTTGTGCGCGCAGCATCCGGTTCGGGAGTTATGGCTGTTAGAAAATTCCAAAAAGTTCAAATTTCGGAGTGCGCGAAAGTGACAACTTTTTTGCATGTACATGAATTTGGTACATACTGTATGTACCGGGCCAAATCCCTTGATTGCTGTCATAGCAATTCGCTTTCTAGTTGAGACCTTGGAGCTCATCGTTCGATTAGCCCAAGAGAAGAAGACAAACGATATCGTGGATTTGTCACAGGCTCAAATTCTAGCCGGACAGAATCTTCCCGAGGACTCTGGACGACCTTTAACGTGGGTGCGCGTCGGCACGGCAGCAACGTTTGAGTGCGTTCCCCGGTCATCCCCTGATTCAAACAGCGGGATATTATGGCGTTATAAAAATATGTGGTTCCCTGCCAACAGTAACACTTACACCGCAGCAGCAGTCAGTACTGCTCGACTGCCGCTGTATACCACTGAAAGGCGCAATAATTCTTTGTATTTCCGAATCCACAACATTACGATGGACAATTTTGGGGACGTTGAATGTGTCCAGTCGTGTGCAGACCGCGAAGCCGATGAGTGGTGCGTGATAGCCTCGCACCGGCTCCGACCAAAACTGAGAGCAAAAGATGTCTTCCGGACACCATTGCGACCCGTACGCAGTGGATCGCTAAAGTGGACCTTTAACTGTCAAACAAAGCTTTTATGTGATCAGCATACGGTTATTCCAGGTTTTATCTGGAAAATGAACGACAATTTTATTGGCGTTCCAAATCATCATTACATGTCGGCCATGTTTGCTAACGTGTCCTGGTTCCAATTTAATTTTGTAGAAGAGCGCAATGGAACTGATCCCACATGCGTGCGTTCCACGGACGGACAACATGCATATTACGAAGCTACCTTTTACGTCAAGATATTTTGGCTGTACTTATACCCATATCCGCCGTCATCCGTGGAGTGTTGGGTCCAACCAGACGTAGCCAGTGGCGAGTGGTATGTCCAAAAAACCAATGTTAATTTCAACGACTAACTTTACGAATCGACCAGTTAGTAGTAGTCTAGTAGAGTACTGTAAATTCTGCGCATGCGCTGCTCTTTATTGCATTTAAGGCCCGAAAATGCGTTTCAAACCTTCGTAGTGAAAGTTGCATCATCAGTACATTTCTTGTTTTCCATAGAATATTATCAGCAGCAATTTGTAGTTTGTATTCTTAGTACCTGTTTATGTTGATTTGCACTTTACTGCACTTGTTTTTGTTGCATTGTGTTATCTTTACACAAATAATTGAAGTGGACAATGATATAAAAAAAATCGTGCGCTTCCATTACGATTCCTGGTTCTGACACGACCGGAACTCACCACGCGTGCCGTTTGCATGAGTGACGGTGAATGATGAGTCACACAGAAGCACCGCGCCATGTCATTGCGCCAACAATTTGTCAACAACAGCAAGAGCAACTTGAATTTTTTTGCCATGCTCCGTTAGTTGGACAGGTTGTTTTCAGGTCTGACACTTTTAACATTCCAGTTTCGTTTGTGTTACGGATTAGCTGTCGCTGTGCGATTATTATGGTGATTTGCCTACTTATTTGTTCATTCGTTGTACTTGGAATCATGGATGACGCTTCCTAAAGTAATAACGGTATAACCAACTTAGAACTAAGAAGTTTCTTTTTCACCAGTTTAGTTTACTGTGCTGTTTACGATTGGCAACAGTTAACACATCTCAGCTCGCAGGAAAGACAGTTATCCTATCGTTCCATTGATGTCGTCCTGTTAATTCTGTGTGATCTCAAATTCTTGTATGTTTTTCCTGGAAATTCACAAATCTGTCCCCGTTATCGGAGTTTATTTACTGCGTGCTGCTGGGAATTGACAAGCTAGACTACAGAGATAGCAGCGTATTCTTATCTGCATTGATAAATGTGGCGCATGTGGGTACAACCTGGTTGAGTTGCCTGCGTAAAGCACGGTGAAAACAGGTAGGCTGCGACTTCTCCAAAGAGACTTATCTAATATGCTTTGTTGTTGCTTTCATGGCGATTTGGAATCTTTTCTGATTTCTGCGATTTGTTTCCCTATCTTTCCGTGACTTAGTTTGCTTATGGAATTTGTCGTAATTTTGCGAAAACGCTCAAAGTCTTGAAATCTGTTTATATCCCGAAAAGTTACCAAATCTGTGAACGATGCAGTTGAAATTAGTTTATTGAGGAATGACGGAATGTACAAATTTGTATGCGATTTTTCACGCTGAGCATTTGTCTAAAATTTTAAAGTTCAGTTTACGCCTCTTTTAAATTGCTTGATGAATATTGCTTAATTGTTGTTACACGGTAAATTATAAATTTATGGAAATTTCTTTTCAGAAGCTGGAACTGTGGAGTTATCAGTCTGATTGGTTGTGGATGTGAAAAGGAATTTTTGCCATACTCTTATGTTAGCGCAGGATTAGAAAAATCTGAGGAATTCATTTAGCCACCTGTTTGCATACATTCCGCGCGGGGTTTTCCGCTGGCCATCCGTGTTACAGACGCCATTGTGCTGGTGATATTATGGTGGAGAAATGTGTGCGAGATCGCGTGGAGAGCGTACCGTGCAGTGCGAGCGCGACCCTGTGCAACTGGCAGCGTGAAGTGTCCTTGAAGGTCTCTAATGGCTCAACGGATTCGCTCTTTGCCAGTCCATCCGGCTGTGCCGGATGCGGCGATGCCGTCTGCGGACTGGTCATGGTAAGCGGAATTTATGTTATTGTTTTATGCTGATTAAATTTGATGTTGTTATTGTTGTACACCTTTGTAATTTTTTTCTGTTGAATTTTGTAGCCCCAGAATATTATTTTCTTCTGTTTTTTTAGCTGATCCAGTTGATCCAGGAGTTTACTCTTTTATGTTTTTAAACTTTTGAAACTTGCTTTGAGTTTTATTAACACACCACGAATTCTTTAAAAATAATGTTATTTTATCGACTGATTATCTGCAATTCGTTTCTTATTTTCTGTTTGCATTTTTCATTTAAGCAAATTTTGCATGAAATTTATGATAATCTAAATACTGTGGCTGTGAGATTAGAAGAATTTGCGGTTTTCCTCCAAGACAGTGTTTCGGTGGTGTACTGTACTAATTTTGAAGTTTGTCGCCCGATGATAGGCAATAATTATAAGGTGTGTGTAGTGCAGTGGCCGCCTTGCATCATAATGATCATATCGATGGATGTTTGTTTTGAAAGCCTTTAACTTTTTTTTATGGTTAATATGATTTGAGTTAAGGTTATTTCAGCAGTTTAAATACCTAGTTTTTGTTGTTTCGTGGGATACGAATTTCTACTACGCATATACCGGGTAATATGTATACTTTTTACGTTTGTTTGAATTTATCCGATATTTTCAAAAGTCCTGCGGTATGTAAAGCACATTTTTGAAATCTCCGTTTCCATTTAGAAAAATAATATGCCGTGTCGTTAAGTCACGTTTTGCATTTGGTTTTTGCGACAATTTGCACAATACGCCCAATTGATCCGTATGATTGATTTTGCGTTTCCTCTTCCGTGAAACATTGGCAGGTCGGATGTTGACATAAGCAACACTATACTTGCTTGTTAGCTTGTTAACTGCTAATGCTACTAACGGCGCACCTCCATGGTAAACGTTACCGGTGTTGGTTTGATTGGCAGGTGGCCGGCGACTGTGTCTACCATCCCGAGTGTTTTTTATGCGGCCAGTGCCAGTGCATAATTGGCGTCAGTGAGCCGTTTGTCCTCCTGGCCAGCGCCAGGCTCTGCTGTGAGAAATGCTGGCAGACCAAACAGGACCCCGCTGATGGTGACGCCAACACGCATCCCCTCCTGCATGTTATTTGCACGCCGTCCGCCGACTTTGATGCCCTTTTCCGCGAAAAACCCCCATGCCTTCGAATTGTAAAGTAAGCAGTGCACCTTTAGTTGTTTTAATCGATACGTATCGGCTGCATGCGAAAAGAGGGGATGGTTTACGTCGGAAATAACGATATTATTATCTCCTGCATGAGCGGAAATTTTAGTGTATGTTGTTTCATAACTGTGCTTCCAATTGCACGTATTTCAATCATTGACCAGTGCAGTGAGCGAGTAGTTTGTTAAGTACGACGTTCGAGCATGTAATGCGTTTATATGGCGGCTGCCGTAGTGTATTGGCTGGTACATGAGTCGTTAGGATGGTTATATGTAGCCAGGTCTGTTAAACTGTAATTATCTCTTCGGTGTAGTTTCGGAAATTATCATTAACTTACTCTTTTTTCCTGCATTAGGCAGTACATTCATGATTTAGCGAGTATTAATTTTTTGCATCTATTAATGTATTGCATTGTTTGCATCAGTTTTGTGTGTAAGTGTTGTTGTGTTGCGCAGATCTTTTGCATGTTCATTCGGTTGGTTCTTTTGGTGCAGAATGGGTGTGGGAAGTGTGGGAAATATTCGCATCGGTGATGAGATCGTGGAGGTGGATGGCCGTCCCGTGACGGACGAGAACTGGAGAGAGTTACTGTCCTCGATTCGCTATCGTCCTGAAAAACTGCCCCTTACTTTACACCGTCCGTCCGATGGGCATAATAAATGGTAACAAAGCGTAATTAAATGTCCAAGCGCTCTGTTTTAACTATACGTTATTTGCAAAACTCACAGTTCATGTTGGTACTTTGTATTGGACAAAACGCCCTAATTGCAACATATTTAATTTTTGTAATTTGGAATATGATTCTTTTCATTATTATTTTAATAACAATTGCTTATTTAATCAGTTGGGAAATCAAATGGCGGGCGAAACGGAAGTAATGCTAAATAAATATAAATACAAGTAGCCGTTAATGTTTGCAGGGCAAATATTAACGGCAACTTACAAAATTATTCAGGATTTTGTAAAGTTAATTGTGCAGTATCAAATAATTTTTAATATTTTGTTTTGGTTAGTGCCACGCTTCCGGTTATCTCCCGTCCCCGCCACTCCGTCTCCCCCATCAATCCCCGCCCGCGCGCCTTTTCCCTAAACCGGCGGCGCAGTCGCTCCACTTCCCTGCCGCGATACTCCACCATCGATGAGCCGGACTGTGCCGCGCCCGTCCGTCCGAACTCCGGGCTGGGCCGCAGCAGTGAGCAGCGTGGCAGCCGGCAGGAACTGCTGCGCGGCGTCTCCCATCGGGCCCATGATCACCGCGGACACCGCTCCTTCCGGCCGTCGGATCTCGTGGAGCTGGAAGAGATCGGGCGGGGCACGTACGGGGTCACCTTCAAAATCTGCCACCGGGAAACCGGCGAGGTAACTCTCAAGAAAACGTATTGCGTTTTCGAACTATGCATTTCATTTTCATAATAAATTGAACGATCGTGTGGCGTTGGTTTCAAGCGACGTTTGTTTGTGCGAATCAAAATATCTGCACACTTGCTTCAAAATGTAGTGTAATGGCAAGCTACTTCAGATGGAGACTGTGCAGTTTGCAACCTACTTATGGGTGATATCATTTAAAGACAGGTTCTGATTTGAACTTTCTCAGTTTTTAAAAAAATATTTTATGTTGCGAGGGTTGTGTCAATCAACAGCTTGAATTTTGTTATCCACATTGCAAGGTATGGTAATGGATAATATAATGAAAAGATTGGTTGTGGTTTTAAGATTTTTGTTTAGACACATTTTAGGTTGCGACGTGCAATGCCAGTAAATCGCTTTTATGTTATTAAATAATCTTCTGTGCAGAGTAGTAATTCTCTTTGTGCAACAGATTATGACGATGAAGAAACTCTACCGGTTCGATCGTGTGGCCCAGGAAGATTTTCTCCGCGAGAGCGCCGTCTTACGCAACGTGGACCATCCCAATGTGCTGCGTTTCATCGGCGTGGTGATCAAGGGGTATAACCTGCACATTATCACCGAGTACGTGGCGGGCGGGACCCTGGAGGAGCGCATTAAGGACCTGACGCAGCCGTTCGCCTGGCCGGAACGAGTGGGGGCCGCCCGTGATATTGCCGCTGGATTGGCGCATTTGCATTCCTTGAGTGGGTGATAAAGACTGCATTTTCGTTGTCAATGGTGCTGCTGAATGCCAAGCATGTGCTGCGTTGGCATTTTGCACGCCTCAATGAGTTTGTGGTGGGCGTGGAATAGTAGCTAGTGTTTTTTTCTCTCTAGGTATAATTCATCGGGATCTCAAAGTGGACAACTGTCTCATTCGAGAGGTACGTTGTTCTTGTTTAATTTTTTTCCAGATGTTTTACACATTTACAGAAGATTTGTTTACAGTATCAATATTTAAAAACCCGCTTTAGATTTTTGAAACCTTTACCAAAACAAAAAAAGCTGATAACCTTTATTTGGAATAAAAAGAGCGGAAATAAGACGAGTTTGATTTTCAAAACAATAGAAGTTCGAGTGCCTGTTAGCAGTAGATGCTAGCAGAGGCGCCACGATTAGCGAAAGGGATACATCTGGTAATGTTGATGTTGATGTTGTTGTATTAATTTTGTACTCATGAATTTTGAGAGGATCAGTAATAATTTTTAGAATAAGTTGTGTTAGCAGTACTACATATACGGCCGTCACAAATTTTTATAAGAAAAACTAGTTTTCTAGAATTTAATGACCTTTGAATGCTAGTTTTGCGCTCATTGTACAATGTCATATCCATTTCCTGAAGGGTATTGCCGCTGTGCTACGCTTCTGTTACTGATTGCATAGCAAACGTACCGTAATAGGTGCAAACTGTAAAGACTGCAACAGTGTATTTGGGACTTGTTATTTGGTTATTTGGGATTTCTCAGTGCCTGGATTTTTTTCCGATATAAATTATGGTTATGTAGCAGGACGTCTGTTAGTAAATTTGGTTTTTCTAGCTGACATAATTAATTTTACCAGCATTTTAATTTTATTAACGGTTGGAACGTTTATTTTCCATTTTTTCGTTACCTATGCTTTTACCTGTTATGAATACTTCAAATCTTCAATACGGCTAAGAGTCTATTGAGTGTGCTTGGTTGTTCAGGATGGATCGGTCGTTGTGGCGGATTTCGGATTGGCCTGCATCCTGCAAAAAATTCCCAGTTCGCGACATTCCGTGCACGGCTTCTCGTCCGACGAGCCGTCGGCCTCCAACAGCGAGGAGAATCTGACCAGTTCCACCATGAGCAGCGGCCGGAAACGGCGTTTGACGCGCGGTCCCAAACGGCAGACAGTGTGCGGCAACGCGTTCTGCATGGCGCCGGAGATGCTGCAGCACTGCTATGATGAACGCGTGGATATCTTCTCCTTCGCCATCATTCTCATACAGGTACACTTCGCTGAAACGGGGCCTACGTGATTTTCCTCTGAATTATGGATTTATTTTTGCGATAATTATTATTTTTTGTGAATGGCGTACATTTTGTATAGGTATTTTTTGCATACATATTCACAGATTAAAAATTAATATGAAAATCAAATATTGTGGCGATTGAAGACAACCGTGGTTGAGTTGAGTCTATTGAACGAAACCGTAGTTCAGTGTCTACATTTTCTTGCCTCTGTTCAGTCTGTTGTTCGGTCGCTGTTATTTAATCGAATCGTTGAAAACCGTAATCTTTCGCATTTGCAGTGTGTAAGTTTAAAAAACATCTGACACCTTTTTAGCGATATTTTTTTAGTGTACACTGTACACTGAGATCAGTCAGTGGAGAATGTCCGCTACAATAATAAAAAACCAAACGCGGCCTGACGAAAAACGCTTAGAGTAGGAATTAGGTACATCTTTATTTTATGCGTAGTTTAACCTACCCTGTACAACCGATAGTTGATCGCCCAGCAATAGCCAGTACATTTCAATTTGTGTTGGTTGTGAATAAGATAACCGGACAGTGATGTTGATGTTCGTCAGTCTCATAAGCGATGGTAGTACGCTGAAGCCTGCTGGTCGATTTGGCATCGCGGGTAAAAGGAAACTGATCCAGATTGTAGGAAAATAAAAGATGTGTCTTGTTTTGTCGCTTCAGATGTTAGCCCGCATCCCCAGCGACCCGGAGACCGGCGTCCCGCGCAGCCGCGACTTCGGTCTGGACCGCGAGCGCATCCTGTCCACGCTGGTCCGTCCGGACACCCCGCCGCTGTACGTGACGATCGCCTTATTAGCCGGGGATGTCGACCCGGAGCGCCGGCCGTCCTTCGCGCTTCTCCAGTCGTGGCTAGGGCGCCTGCTGCTCTGTCTGGAAGCCAAGCTGCCGGTGTCGTTGGATCTGCACGCCGAGGTGGAGGAGTTTGTCCGCAGTGATGTGGAACAGCCGCTGGTGAAGAATCCCTTTCTGCGTGCCGCCAGTGAGCCGTTCTTCGATGTTGAGAGCGGGGATAGTGGATACGGGGACGGCGGGGAATCGGCGCGGAACAGTGTGCGGTCGCTGGTGATTCGGTGATAACAGAAATGTGGGAATGAGCTTTTACGTGATAGAGCGTCGGCAGCATGTTGTGTGGATGGGTTGTGAATGATCTGGGTGGTAATTTATGAATTTGTTTTTACGTTTTTCTGGGTCTGATTCAATGATTTTCTTGGTCTGATTTAACCTACATTCCTTTCTTCAGTTTCTACATTGTTGTTTTGTAAAAAAACGTCCTTGGCAGATAGAGAGTTTAACTGTAATACGATTATAAACAGTTTTAATGTGTCCAGAATTTGCTGACAAGAACAGAGAATAGTATGAGCATTAAATTCTTAATACAAAAATAAACAGGATTAAAATCATTAAATACATACAATAAATAAACAGCTTTATTGGGCCTAAAATTTGCTACTCTTACTGTATTATTTGCAAAAGGTTCTTTAGCTGATGGAGAGATTGATTGTAATACAACTACAGTGATAAACAATTTTAATGGGCCCAAGATTGGTATACTGTATTAAAGTAGAACTAACGACTTAGCACTGATTTTTTCGTACACAGTATTTCTTGTTCGATACCACTTTCAACAATTTTAAACATTCAACTTAAGTTTACTTTGTTAAGGAAATCGGCTGTTACAGCATTTCATTAGGTCTTGGACACAATTATAACATCGTACAATTTACATATATACAATACTCCATGAAAATGCAAAAAGTGCGTAAAAAGACAACTGCCAATCTGATCTACTGGAAAATTCAGGCTTGTGTTATTCGCCATTAAATCAAATCAACTTCAAAAGCGTGCCATTGCATTCTCGCACTTTTGATAATTTAGTTAGAAATTTCTTTGAAAAGGGAACAAGCAAAGACCATTTCAACATGGCACTCATGGGCGGAAAAGCTTGCAAATTTGGTAAATCATCGCGCAAATTCCCAGTTACCATCTACATTCCATTCAGACAGTTAAAACAGCGATGCATTACAAACAGCCAAAAGGCACAAAGGTCATCCAGGAATTAAAAGGAAAAAACGAAAACACTAAAAGCCAAAATATAATTGAGCCAAGGGAAGCACAGGCGCTTGAGGAATAGGAGCCATATCCTGAAGAAAACGGTATGCGGACGGAATTAATCAGCTGCGCGTGATCGGCATCGTCTCGATGAAGTCCAGGTAGCGGCGCTGGCGGGGCTTGTGCTGGGTCAAATTATGGCGGGCTTCGTCCACGCTGAACCATTTGCGTTCGCGTCCAACCTGTAAACATAGCGGCTGATTCAAATCTTAAAATGAAACAAAAAATGCCCATACAGTTTTTCACATGAAACTTCCGCTGCTTCGATTTGAACATACCGAGAAAAACCACTAATGCATGTTTCACAAAAAAGTAACAACATCGGGGAAAATGTACGATCAGGTACAAGAGAAAATAAGCGGTCTACATTTTTCATTTAAACACATGCCACATGGAGTGTTTTAAACACCGTACTAGTGCGATGTGCACCTGTAAATTTATAAACCATTAAAAACAATTTTGCACACTCATGCTGCCGTCTTGGTCAGCACAAAAAATCCGCAATATTCAAAAAGAATATAATAACGTATGAATAGAACATGCTACATTACACAGCACATGTAGGTTTTCTCGTTAATAAAATGTTACAGAAAAAGGGAAATCGCTGTGTCAGCAAGTTTTCAGCGGATTATATGAATATACAGAATTCGATACGGTCAAAATTTACGCGCTTGTAAATCGCAAACATGCCTTATCATAACTGATAAATGCCATCAACAAAGAAACAATTCCCAGTTACAATTTGCAAACAAAAGCACAAAGAGGACGTCAGCTTACGATATTGAAAAACCATAATGCCATCGAACAAAAAAGATTATTTGAATACCGTCGCAGTTGCACAGTCATTAATGTAGAAAGGTACAAACATGTACCAATGGTACTACTGATCGTGAAAGGTAGACAGCTGTCTTTTTTGCCACTGTACTACACTACGCACTTTTCGCTATGAAGTCATGTTAAACAGTTAAACTTATTATTTTCAGTAATGCAATGACAGAAATGCTTCATGTCTTTTGTCGGATTTCCTGGTTGCAGAATGACTTCGTTTTCAAATAACTCATAACACAGTTTCCCTTTAGTAAAATTCCAGAATTAAATTTCAGATAAACTGCAGCATTTAAAAAATTTTAAATCCATATAAAAGGAGCAGTCATTCTATCATTTATTTGTATGCTTCTGTTTCCAAGTAATTTGCTGAATTTTATCAATTTTCATGACATGACATGTCACATTACTGTACATACTGTACGTCGTGCCTACCATTACGGCAACATAAAATTTAGAAAATATTCGTACGAAAATAAAAAGTATGTTGTACGGAAATAAGCGAAAACATTGAAAAATACGAGGTCCCGTCTGTTTTGTGAACGGAAGATTTCACTTTACAGCAGCATACGGTACCTTGAGATCATCCCACGAATCCATCTCCTCGGTGACCAAGAACAGATACACCACCGTCCGATTACGGCTCTCCGGATTCTCAAAGACCCCCAACAAACGCTGCATCTGTCCCCGTACTCCGGCCTCCTCCTCCACCTCGCGTTCCGCCGCCTCGCGGGGATTCTCATTGGGCTCGATGCCTCCGCCAGGCACTACCCAGCGTTCATGACTGCGCGATGAGGATACCAGCAGCACCTGTCGCTCCCCGCGGCCGTTCTCCGCCGCCACTTCCCGCACACACACACAGGCCGCCCGACGCCGGAAGCCGTCGGCGTCGTAGCAGCGGATGGAATTCGGCTTCTCCTTCACCATGGCTGCGTCGGGAACAGGCAGATAAAAAGGGAAAGCGAAGAAATAGTAGGGGAGAATAATTACTGCCGAAGCCGGTGTAGTTCTGTATCAGCTATGGAGAAATCAATGGATGATAACAGAAAAGCATAGCAGCACGCTGGATACAGTTTCCACTGGCGACGGCTGATCTCGTTGAAAGAAAGAGGAATGCGAATTATGCGATCGGTGGTTTATGTAGAGTTCACAGAATAGAGGAAAGGATACAATGACGAGGTCCGAAGTTAGATTAAGAAAGTATTCAGGGATCAACAAAAGCGTAAAACAGGTTTAGCGCGCGAAACTGCACCGTCGAAAAATGCTCACAACTCCGCATGGCAAATATGAATTTCGGAGAATTTTCGATTCTGTTGCAGCTAGCTGGTGTAGGCAGAATCCCATATCCAATGGAATTGGAAGGGTGCCACGCGTACATTGTGCAAGTGGAAACCATTTCTAGTGGAGTTGGATTTATTGAGCATCGCTGGCACTTCCGGTGACTGTGCGAGCAAGTCTGCAAGAATTTCAAGAATGCCTGCAACGGACGAAATTATTTTGTTTGACTGTTTTCAGTGTTTTGTTCTTTCAGTTTTATTTGTTTACCTTTTTTTCGATAGAAATTACTGGCGGATTAAAATGGAAATTTGTTGATGATTCTTTTATCGTGTAGCGACATGCGCCTGCCGTATCTTGCCGCGGTGGATTTGCGCGATCAACAGGTGGTTCTGCACTCCACTCGGCGCTAATCGCCATGCGCTGCATGCGCTACTTCTCCTTCCTTCGCCACAAACTCCTCTCCTTCATAATCTCCATCTTCCTGGGATACATCTCCGTGTTATTCACGGAATATGTCCGCTTGTACAGCTGGAACACGCACGGCCCTGCGGAATGCCCCAGTTCCCTGCCTGCGACACCCACGGGCGGGCACCCAGCGCGACAGCTGCTCTTCGTCGGTGTTATGACGGCGGCCAAGTATCTGGACAGCCGGGCTACCGCGGTGTATCGCACCTGGGGCCGCAATGTGCCCGGGCGGATGATGTTCTTCAGCAGCGCCGGGTCGCGGAGTACGCAACCGGATCTGCCGGTGGTGGCGCTCCCGGGGGTGGACGACGCGTATCCACCGCAGAAGAAATCCTTTATGATGCTCAAATATATGTATGATCATTTTTGGAGGAGTTTGAGTGGTTTATGCGGGCGGATGATGATGCGTACGTGCGGACGGATAAATTGGAGTATTTTCTGGCGTCGTTGAATAGTAGTAAGCCGTTGTTTATTGGACAAGCGGGACTGGGAACGAAAGAAGAGTTCGGGCTGCTGAATCTCGCGCCAGGGTACGGCATGTCAAAAACAAATTTGTTTGTAGTTTGTACTATCATTCATATTAGAATTTGACTTGAATTTTTTTATGATATTTATTCAGAAAATTAATTCTTATTTTTCTGACTTCTACAAATATTTTTCCATATTTATTTGGCAGTCTGTTGTTATTTGGCATTTTGTTGGAACAGAAATACTCATATCTGTAGAATTCAAACTCGTATTTCAGCATCGGAAATACGTATAAATAATAGTTATTTTGTTTTTTTTATTGGTTTAATATTTTCAACTCATTGTTAATGCTATGTTAATTTCTGTGACGAATTTTGCAACGAGTAATTTATTGATTTTGGGCTTAATTTATTTGTTAAACGATTTTCATAGTTGATGTTTTTTTGCAGGGAGAATTTTTGCATGGGCGGACCGGGAATTATTATCAGCCGGGCGACACTCCGACTAATGGCACCGCACATAAAATACTGCCTGAAGCATTTACTGAGCACCCACGAGGATGTGGAGATTGGTCGGTGTATCCAGAAATTTGCCGGTGTTTCCTGTGCCTGGTCGTACGAGGTAGACGTTTACTGTCTTACGTTATTGTATAAGAAAAGTTTTTTCAGCTGTTTGGTATTCTTGATTTTTCTGCCGTGGACTCTATTTCAGCTAATTTATTTACTAATTTATTTCTTATTCTTCCCCGGCTTTGAGCAGTCTTTGCTTGTGCTGGCCAGTATGCAGTAGTTTTTACTTTTTAAAAAAGTGTGCAATTGCGCAAACCCTGTGAGCCACCAGTGTCGTGGCAGATATCGTAGTGAAGTGCTACATATGAGACGATGGTGTATTCAGTCGTGCTGAAGTAATGTATATGATGCCATTTGCATCTAAAGCTGCGTTTTAATCTTAAAAAATGCGTGACTAATTACTCGGTAAATGTTTTTTTTTTATCACGAGTATCCACTGATTACGGTTTCGTTGCAGATGCAAACGATTTTTACAATAATCAGAGCGGTCTAGCGGCCTTTACCGGTGATCTGCATGTGAAGGAAGTGCACCGGGCCATCACGCTGCATCCGGTGAAGACAGCGCAGCATCTCCACCGCATCCACAACTATTACACAGCCAATACGCTGGCCAGTGTCCACCAGGAGATTGTGCAGTTATCCCGGCAGATGTACGACATGAATGTCCTGTTGGACGAGAGCACGCATTTTCAAAAGGGCGTCAGGTACGTGTATAAAAAAAAGGGGATGGTAAACGCATGAAAATTTGCCACGCTGCTGTTCGGGTTTGTAGTTTGTACTGTGACGTGGGTACAACTGAAGGCAATGAATGAACGTACGTAGTGTAATGGCTATTTCGAGACCGTGTATTAAAGCCATGAATTAAACAGTTCTTTTGATTTCTTCATGTCGTATTTGATTTTTGAATTTCGAAACTAAAGTTTTACGTGTGCAGCGCTGTGGAAATTCTAGCCGTATGGAATCGGCAGTTGTAATAGCGTTTTGCGGTCATTCTGTGTTTAGGTGACCGCTATGAAAAAACAATTAAAATCGCATGCGCAGAACACTAATTGCTGGAATACATAATTTTTTGGAACTGTATTTGATTTGTATCGCGGATTCCGGCAAAATAACTCCAGCTTATCTTTTGTGTTGCTTTTTCTGCAGCGATGTTTTACTCCATCCACCGTCCTTACTCCGCTTCCGACCGCAGACACCCGACGAAGTGCTCGTCTGGGAATTCTTCACCAAATCCTTCTACTCTCACCTCGACTACAACCCGAAACGGGCGCTGCGCTCCTCACAGAAATGGGCCATCAACAACCTGGTGATGCAGCTGATGGAGCAGATCAACCACTACTCGGAGCAGCGCGGCCGGGTCATCGATTTCAAGGAACTGCTGTACGGTTACCAGCGCCTGGATCCGCTGCACGGGATCCACTATGTTCTGGATGTGCATCTGGTGTACAAGCGGTATTCCGGGAAGAAGATGACGGCGCCGGTGCGTCGGCATGCGTACTTAGAACAGGCTTTCGCCTGGACGGAGGTGGCGGAGGAGGAGGATTGCGTGGGAGAGGGGATGGATGACCGGGATGCGGCTTTGAAGAGGGATTTTGGCGGGGTGCTGCGGTATTTCTCGCCGCGACGCGCTTCCGGTAAGCGGTTCTTGCAATTTTCACCTATTATTTACATTTTATCTATTTTTTTACCCTATTATTTACATTTTATTTATTGTTTACCCTATTATTTACATTTTATTTTACATTTTGTTTAGGACCCTGTTAAGACAGATTTTTTTATAATTCCGATCATATTTTTATTAAAGATGGTTTACTGTTGGGAATCTGTTGGCGTTGGTTTCCTTGAGATTAGAAGTTGGGTTTGTGTAGCAATGGCTTCTGTTACTGAGTATTCGTATTTTCTGCAGATATTTAAATCCTAAACTTACCAGTGCGATCGACTGCGTACTTTACTTACACTTTTAATCGGCATCAGCCACTACACAAAATAATACGAGTGTTACATGGAGATTTTCGGTATGATCCCAGACACCGATTGGTTACGAGTACGTCTGCGCGGGTTTACAGTTTACACTAATGAAAAATTTTAAACATTGAAAAAAAACCACAATCTTTGGAGTCTTTCGAGAGGTTAGGACTGCGTACTTGAGAATATGTTCAGCGGGTGTGTGTTGTAGTGGAGTGGCTTTTGACTATAACCATTCGGTTTATGATGGTGGTTTGTTATCACATTGAGTTACAAATTTACAACCTGGTGCGTTTTGAAATTCGAAGTTTATGATATTGACTATTGAAATTTAAATTTTTTCGATTGTTTTAAGTTTTTTATATGCAGCGGGTTGTATATACTCAAAACATTTTGATTTCTCTTTTAACACTTTGAGCTCAGTCGGGCTGTTTTCTTTACTGGTAGTCTGGTACCAAGTACTGTTTGCAACTGCAGTACGGTACTTGTAATTCGTAAACAAGTTTGTCTAACAACTGTAACAGCGCTCTGTTAGCCAAAGTCATGAAAATTCGCGTTTATTATTTTAGATGTCCAGTTAGACACAACTGATGCGCAGTGCCATAAACGCTTGACCCCGGACACGATCAACATGATCCTGTCGTTATCGGGTCGTCCCGAAACTCTGGATCGCTTTCTGAATATTCTGCTCCCGATGACATCTTCCGGCATAACGCTGACGGTCATGAATTTTCCATCTGTTGATCCGGACGTCCAGGGCAATGTGTCGGAAGTAATAGATAAATGGCGCTTACAATATCCGCAGTTTCCCTTGGAAGTGGTCAATTTGGACGGGAATTTCTCGCGCGCGGTGGCGCTGCAGCGCGGCAGTGAGCGCTTTTCGGCGGAGGCCTTGCTGTTCTTTGTGGATGTGGATATGGTGTTTGGGGAGGGGTTTCTGGAGCGACTGCGACGCAACACCAAACAGGGACGCATGGTGTATTTTCCGGTGGTGTTCAGTCAGTATCGACCTGACAATTGGCCGGAAAAAAGCAACAGCAGTAAGGGAGATAAACAAGACTATGTAATTAGAAAATCATTCATGTAATTTTACTAATAGCGTTGATACAAAACGCAGCCAGTTTTTAACTTTTCAGATGTAAAAAATCGGTGTAAAAGCTTTCACAATTATTGCGCCGTACAATTGTAGGCTTTTTTTAAATATTTTTGATCTCAGGTTTATTGTGCTTAGCCACTAATCTACGACTGGTGTTAATTTATTATGTTACCAGGATTAACTGGCGTGTTTATCCGAAGTTATGGCTGCCCATCCGTTGCTTATTTATGAGTCCTTTAAAACGTCTTTCATAAAAAATGATATGTTTACTGTATTTTACTTGCGCCGTTGTGATTTTTTTCAGTGGAGTTGCTCTTGCCATTCTCCGTTAAAACCACTGCTTGCGATTCTCCGTTAAAACCAGTAGACAATAAAATTTATTCAGACGAATCAGTTAAATAAACGTCCAACTTTAATACGTACTTAATTGCACTACATGTAATCAGTTATGCAAATGATTAAGTAGTTAAATTAGTCAAATCAGACGTGAATAATCCAGAGTAAAATTTAATCAAATTAATAATAATAATAATTTGATTAACTAATTATATAACCAGTTTAATAAATATTAATTAAATGTGGCAGTAAATTACATAATTAATCGGCTCTTGGCGTGGCGAATTTGTAGACGTCTTCCATTTGACGGAAGACACCGGCTACTGGCGGCAATTCGGCTACGGGATCCTCAGCTGTTATAAAGCCGATCTGGACCGCGTCGGCGGCTTCCCCCTGGACATTGCCGGGTGGGGGAAGGAGGATGTGGACCTGTATGAGCGCTTCATCCAGTACGCCCAGACCGATCCGCACTTCCACGTGTTCCGCGCCGCCGATCCGGAGCTGGTGCACGTGTACCATGACATGCACTGTGATCCGCAGTTGGAGCCCGCCCAACTGGTCATGTGCCGCGGCTCACAGGCCGCCAGTCTGGCCAGTCAGCGCAAGTTGGCAGCCAGGGTGCTGCAGCGCTGGGCGGAGGGGAATGCGACGTTGGGGAGTTAGTTGACAGTTTTTGCGGGGTTCCTTGTTCTGGTCTTTCATTTTTTGTTGTTTGAAATTTTATAAAGATTTTTTTCTTGGTGTGCATTGGTTTGTGGTTCGACTGGTCTGATAATTTTTTACCGCTGTCTGTGTGATACTGTGCTGAGTTCCTTGAACCATGTTCCTGTCGTTTTTGTTAAATACTGTAAGATGTACGGGATTATAATTATTGGTCATGCAAGTATTGAAAACGAACAGAAATCAAAGCGTTCGGAAGTGGGCAGCTGATTCATGGCAAACTTTTAGAGGCATGTTGTGTGCAACATTGTCTTTTTTTTTGCTTATGTTCGACCCATAAAAAAGCGTATCAAAAAACTTCGCTCAAATCCCGACGATAAAATGAATGTAATATTTATATAAATTACAGTTGCAAATTCTCGAAAAGTGCAATCATAATTAATGTGACATGCTCTAGTCAACAGCATACGGTCTTCGTCGGTATTTCGGAAATTCCTCGTTCTCTTTACCCAACCACTAATCTACGATAGTTGTAGTTTTTTAGACTGTAACGGTAGCCGGTAGGTATCTGACAACTCAAAGCAAACAACAAATTTGTGAGGTGCGTCACTTCACTCAACTGATACAGCAAAATGTCAATTTTCACAATTTTTACCAAAGTCTGTGTCTCACGTCTCGACAATTACCGAAATGACAAAGCAAAATGAATATCCGTGGAATATAACAAACAACAGTCAACACCCGACCCAATCTTTGGAGTCACGCTATCACAGAATTCACAGCATGAAGCTTTAGGAAATACAGTAAAGCGGTAATGCATTGATAATTAACCGGCAAAAACCGGTAACAGTTATTTTAGCCCGTCATCAGATCCTTGGACGCTCCATCGTGGTGTTCGGATTTAAAACGTGTAAACTTGACACAACACGGGCAAAAAGACCAGAACATCTTCGGTAAACGGCAGGAGGTCTAAAAGGGCCCAGCCATGAAAGGCATGCTGAGAAATATATGTATAGGCTTATTCATATGTACACGTAAGTATATGCTTATTTTATAGTGACGGAATATGGTGTACGTAGCGGCTTAGTACAGTACGTTTTCCATCAGTACTCGTACTATTTTTGTACTTTCCAGCACTTTCTCTTTTGTTTGAGTTTATACTTTTGGCTTTTCTAACCGGATGCGCTCCGCGCCTATATAAGTCCGAGAGTTACAGTATTTTTGGCATCAGTTCGTTCTCATATTCTGAGTTTGGCAGTGCCGGAGTTTTCTAATTAAAATATATCGTCGGAATGCAGTGTCGTATTCTCGCTTCGCGTAGATCGTAGCGTATTCGTATTGCTTAGTTATGCCACATTGAAATTATCAGCTCATTCTCTGTCGTTGAGTCAGGTCGGTAGGATTGATATTACGGTATTATCCCTATCGTACTCGTCTCTCCGTCATGGCGCCCACCGTCAGTTCGAACCTTTCCTAAGGCTAAGCTAAGTAATATGTGAAGTGTGTGAATTGTACATTCCCAGGTGCTCAGTCCGGGTACTTCGGTACTGACTGGACGGATGTCCGGGCAGATCGCTGCCGACTGGACGCCTTACTAAAGTAGTCCGGGTACTGGCGACAGGTGGGTTGGTGGTGAGCCAATTCTGCCTGTGCCTGCGACCCACGACGAAAACCTAATTGTCCGGGAGCTTTGCTCTGTCTGGACGCTGTGCAGTTTGTCCTGCCAGCTGATCGATGCAGGGTTAACCTGTAAATCGATCCTGAGCACAAAACTGGGTAAATTCTAACTAAAGTAGGGACTCAATTCTCCTGGCCAGAGATTGATGTTCCCGAATTATTCTTAGCCAGTGCACAGACGTGTTCCTGGAAATTCTGAAGCAGAAGTTGCGCAACGAAACTGCGAGTAGACAGAGTCGAAAGCAGTATTTCTTAAGCTGAAGTACGTATGCTGAGAGCAGTGCCGAAGCATACAAGTGTGCACACAGAATCTTGAGCGTAGCGTAGACAGCTAAAGCAGTGCTTGAGCTGTACAAAAGAAGTCAGTGCAACGAACACTGAGAACAAAGGGCGTAGCTGAAGTATCCGGGTGAAACAAAAGAAGTTTCTCGGATTTAAACAAAAGAAGTCAGTGCAACGAGCGCTGGACAAAGACGTGAAGTGAAAGTTAAAAACCGTAAGAATGGAAAATTCGAAAAGCACGGCGTCACAGCCGGTAGTGCAACCGAAGTTTACGCGACAAGCAGTAAAGCAAGGTGCAGCAGAGCTGATACCGGATAAGTTTATCGTCCCAATTGGCGTTAAAATCGAAGCATTCCTGAATGAACTGAATGTAGCAGTCCCTAAATCAGGGATATGTGGCAAAGATTTCGTTATGTATGATAACGACGAAGCCAAAATGGGAAAGCCACCGACAGGTTGGCGAGTGTGGCTGGAGCACAGAGAGCTGCCGCAAAATATTACGAAACTGTTTACAGTTGAAGCGTATAAAGCTGCTATGCAGAAGTTTACTGCGCAAGTGCAAGCTGTTCAAAGTGCAGCTGCAGATGCATATGAAAATGCTGGTGAAAGTACGGAAAAGGTTGTGGGTCCTTTTGTATTTTCACAACATAATAAGGAGCAGGAAGTGGACAACACAACCGCAGCCAGTACCGAAAAAGATTTGAATATGAGTATTATTGATGACGAAGTGCCAGCTGGTGGGGTTGAACCGCTGTCAGCAGAGCCGTTCTTTCAGCGTAGAACAGTGGCTCCGAGTCAGAGCGACGAAAACAATAAAACGATGGACGTGATCCATCCGTTACATGCTGCAGTGAGGCAGTTTGCTCTTGATCAAGAACAGTTTGATAATACTGTACTGGCATGGGAAGGCAGAATTGAAAATGAAAAAGATTTTAACGAAATGAAAGAGATCGCTAGAGCCGGTCTTAACACAACCGAAGAGTTGCACATGAAGTTTGTAAAGGCTAACACGTGGTGTCATACATTAAGTGATGACAACGATGCCTTGAAAGAGAACGTGAAAAAATGTAGCGAAGAAATTAATGATTTGAAAGAAAAAGTCAAAAAGCACGATGATGAGTGCAAAGAAAATGTGAAAAAGTTGAATACCGACATTTTTGATTTACGTACTCTGAATGATAAACATAAAGACGAAGTTGATCGAGTACGTAATACAAACAAAAACTTGGAAAAGCAGTGTCACGATTCAATGGTTAATAGTGGCAAACTGCAGCGTGACCTTTTCAGTGCGCAGAAAGAAAGGGATGATCTGCGTGTAAAATTAAAAGCTGAAGAATCACGCGTTGATGTGGAACTGAAGAAAGAGCGTGAAGACCTGCAAGGTCAATGGATATGCATCGAAGACGAGTTCGATAAAGCCAAAGTGCGCAAGAAACAGCTGGCCGAGTGGGAGGCCAGGCTGCAGCAGTGGGAAGACAGTCTGAAGACCAAAGGTAGAACTGTCAGTGGTCAAACTGAATCCCGGGTACATACCAGTACTTTTGAACGGGAAGCAGCATTTGATGCAGCACCGAAGACTACTGTTGGTCAGGAGTCACAGGCATATTCCGGCCGTCGGGTGGAGTTCAACGAAACCCACCGAAGTCGTGATTATGTACCAGTACGCGATAATGATTACGGGTACGAAGACGATATGCGCAGAGCAGAAGACGCGCAGTGGGAAGATGCACAGTACGAAGATAACGAACAACCGCGTGTAAATACTCGTACCGACGAGTTGATTGAGCGCAGTATAGCGTTAATGGAGAAATTTGAGAAAAATGGTAAGGGTACAAAAGAAAAGACCCATTACCCGCAGACTTACAAGGGCACACAAGAAAGTGGGAAAGTCGAAAAGTTTATTCTTGACTGTGAACGCTGTCAAGATTTAAACGGTTGGGATGACAAACAATTAATCGATAAAGGTTTGTCAAACTCACTGAAGGATGATGCGTATCTGTGGTATGCAGACCATAAGAAAAGAAATCCAGACAAAGACTGGAAGTACTGGAAGGAAGTACTCCTTAGTCACTTCTCGTCAGAGAGTGATCCCGCCGAAATACGTCAGGCAATGTACGCCCGCGTATTCACCGACGCGCATACAGTAAATTCCTACGTGGATGGATACCTAAACTGGTTTAACACGTTAGGTACAAGTGAAGAAGAGCGTGTGTCAATCCTAGTTCAAGGATTAAAACCGCATCGATGGCGTTGGTTCGAAAAGTTGACAGAGTCAAAACCAAAAACAGTTGAAAAAGTGTGTACTCAGTTGAAGACGTTTTACAGTCTGAAGTCGCAACAAGTGGAGTACAATAACACCAAAAATCAATATAACAATAATAATTACGGTAATAATGGCAACCGTGGACGCGGTGGATACCGCGGTAATAATAATCGTGGCCGAGGTGGCGGAGGTGGATATGGTAATTATCGCCATAACTCGTACGAACAGTCTGGAAGCATGTACGGCAAAGAGGAAAGTGAAAAAACTGAATACTCATAATAGCGGCCGACGGCCGTTTATGATTGGTAATGTCGAAATCGACCTAAATAAATGGAAAAATGATGCCGGTCAACTGATTTGCTTTAAGTGCCATGAGCTGCACCCAGCAAAGTTTTGCACTTTTAAAGGCAAATTTAAGGAGGCGACACGTGAACCGCCCGCGGACGTGTTAGCCCGGCACAACAGCAGAAGAGCGGAAGCACGAGCAATGGAAGTGTGCAAACTTGGCAAAGATGTGCAAGTGAATGCGCTTTCCGTAGAGCGAATACAGCAACTCTCACAGTATCCAGATGCTGTGGAGAAAGGGTTTGATGTCGCGTTACCGACTCTGGACGCACAAGCTGTTTACGTATTATTGTCTATGAATGACAATGATGAAGTGAAAACGTTGGTGGATACTGGAGCAAGCATCTCCATTATGCCTATGCACATAGCAGAAAAGTTGAATATAAGCATTTTAAAATGCCCAGCACATGTGTCGGATGTAACATTAAATACCGCAGCAAATGATATTACTGATATTGATCCATTATGCGGTATTGTTCGTATCGAATTGTTTGGTATCGGTTATGAACATGCAGTACTGATCGATCCTAATACAAAAGTTGATTTCGTATTACTGGGTACAGACTTTTGGACCGGTAAGCCGGTAACGTTTGATTTCAGTACGATGGCATTCAGGCCTACTCGTACAGGACCCGGTTTTCCCAAATACCACCCGAGATTACATTTGAAAATGTTGGATTGTGTGCAGCAACACAGTTTTAAACCGGTATTGAATCCCGGTGCACGTCCATGTCCCACGATACCTGCATGGTTTGATACGGGGCGTGCTCTCGAATACTGTAAAGCATTCGACGGAAGTAGCGTCACGTATCAACACTTGAATAAGTGGCTAAATAAAGAGCGGCCGACAATGGCAGTGAAAAAAGCGGAAGTACTAGAGACTAGTAGTACAAAACGGAATGAAGTTTCGCCACAGAAGTCATTTGCGAAAGCGGTCAAAGGAAATATTAAGATTTTAAAGAAACCGCAAACTGTGCCCGGCGCAACGTCAAGTTTGCGGGGGTGCGAGCAGCCGCAACAAAGTACGAGTACTCAAGTTTGCGGGGGTAATGCAGATGTTGATGAAGGTACACTACCTAATGGTCAGTCAGTGACGTTCGGTAACTCTAAGTTAGCTGAACAGTTAACTACTAAGTACCCGGCGAAAGCGTGGACACGCCCGCAGGGGCAACCGGAAAACCATGAGCGTGTGGTCACTGCTGAAGAGTTTGCAGATGAGGCATTCTGGCAAGCCGAACAGTGCAAAAGTAAGGATACCAAGCACTGGTATTACTTACATAACAACCCGTTGAAAACGACTACTGATTTTGAAAGAGACGAAATCGGCTTATTCCAAGTATACCGCGGCATGTTATGTCGAAGACGCAGCGAAGCGGATACGGTCGTCGTCGCGGACGCTTTGGTGGACGAAATCGCGGTGGTGAATCTCGTGGACGTGGTGGAGCTAATGCTACAGAAAATGCTCCTGCTGTAAACGATAATTGGCGTCGAGCTGGCCGAGATCTTGCTGCAGATTTGCAAAATGGACAGAGTGGTAGTGCTGGCAATGTTGTTCGTGATGGCGACGTCGATATGACTGCTGGTGGAGGAAATAATTCAGTTCCTCCTCAGAATCCTACCAGTTCTTCTACCGTCCCTAATGGCCAGCAAGGTGGCTCAGCTGTTCAGAGTGATGCGGAGAAGGAACGCGAACGACAACAGCAGCTTCGTCAGCAGATGGCTTTGAATGCCAGTAAGAACGCTCCGCAGTCGACAGGTACCGAACAGACACGCTCAGGACTGTTTAGCTTTGGAGCTCGCTGAAAATCCCTACTGATTACTGTGCTGATTTATTGCGAATCTCCATTCTGATTACTGATTTCCTGTTGATCTCCGTTATGGGATTTTGCTCACATTTTCCCTTGTGATTTTCGTACAATTTGCTGACAACATTCCTCAGTGCGAAAAGTGGCGTTTTATTTTTATTCTCCTGTTTATCGCGGATGTTTTTTCTGTGATTTTTCATCGGCGATTTACCCTTAATTTAATTGGATATTCATTTGCCACTGAAATTCCGATTTATTTTCCGACGATTTTCCTGTTTATTTACTCCGACTGCCGTGTTTGCCAACTCATTTTCCTGCCAACTCTCACTTCAACCCCGTCAGGATCCTCTCCTCACTTTCCATTTCACTCAGTCACCCGTGGAGGAGGATCAGTCACTCATTCTTGGACGGAGGATGGATTTTGCCCGCCTTGCCCAGTCGAGAGCGTGAGAACTCGTTTAGTTTTTCATTCCTGTTTTTGCTTTTCTTTTCTGTTCTTTTTGTGTTGGGTTCCCCAAAAGCCGTTTGCGGGGGTGACGGAATATGGTGTAAGTAGCGGGTGTAAGTAGCGGGTGTACGTAGCGGAATATGGTGTACGTAGCGGCTTAGTACAGTACGTTTTCCATCAGTACTCGTACTATTTTTGTACTTTCCAGCACTTTCTCTTTTGTTTGAGTTTATACTTTTGGCTTTTCTAACCGGATGCGCTCCGCGCCTATATAAGTCCGAGAGTTACAGTATTTTTGGCATCAGTTCGTTCTCATATTCTGAGTTTGGCAGTGCCGGAGTTTTCTAATTAAAATATATCGTCGGAATGCAGTGTCGTATTCTCGCTTCGCGTAGATCGTAGCGTATTCGTATTGCTTAGTTATGCCACATTGAAATTATCAGCTCATTCTCTGTCGTTGAGTCAGGTCGGTAGGATTGATATTACGGTATTATCCCTATCGTACTCGTCTCTCCGTCAATAGCATATAGACAAGCCTAATGAAAAGTCGAAAACAAAAATTAATAATCACTATAAATATAAGAACTGCAAACAGAAAAAGTTGCAATAATTTTCCAAAATTATCAACTCTAAACAACTGGTAAGCTACACAATTTTAGCGGCTGCGTAGCTTTGAGGATTGGTACTCGATAGCCAATGCACTATCTGTACGTTGAACCATGCAAGTTACAGAACCACGCACCAAGTGTAATTACGAACAAAAGATTGCCAATAAAATCTCATTGGATAAATAATGTGTGCAATATGTCCACAAGCGAGCATCGCCAACAGAAAAATAAAATGAAATCAAAAGTGTACCAATAATGTCAAAATATTCATATTTCGTATCTTTTAATCACGTACATTTTTAATAATAAAGCACAGACGTTGTCAATAATAATAAATGAATAAATAAATAATAATAAAAGAATAAATAAATAATAATTGTGTTGTTAATAATAAAGCACAGACGTAAAGCACAGACGAACTTGATGTAATTAGTGAGACAGAAAAAATAAATAGAAGAAAATTTACTCTGTAAGTCAGTTGATACTTTTCATTATTCACTGATCATGTTTTCAAAGATGGAAAACTAACTGGAACATCGTCTCAGTAGCACAATAATTTACCGAGTAGATTTACCATAAATCTGCTGTGGGCAACTGACCTCCATGCAGTAATAGCAGACGGAATGGCCGCACTGCATCCGACAGGGATAATTCACGGACAATCGGCACACCGGGCAGTTTCCGGCGGGGACTTCCGGCCCCATCCGCCGGGCCCAGGTCGGCGGCAGACAGGAGCGCAGTACGCAGCGCAGGATGAGCAATAATTGACGCCAGCGCAGGACACGTAAAGCGGAAATGAAGGCGACCTGTAATAACACCCATTCTTCCCGTTCAAGACAAATTTTTATCACTACTAAAGTACGCGTACCCCGTAAAGTTCCCATCGAATGTGCCGCGGAGTTGGCAGACAGGAACTCTGTAGCGGAGAAAAACAACGAAAGAGCGTTAGGCTACGGGATCATTCAGGGGTAGGCTAATGAAGATTTATTAACAAGGTTAATAAATAAAATATTCATAATGTATGAATAATGATAATCTTCGAAAATTTTTAATGATAGCCGCAATTTAAATAAATGTGATGCATCATTTCAACATCTGGGATTTTCAAAGCAAAAAACAAGAAATTATAAAGTTTTACCCAGAAAAACCCAACTATGTATAATTCGAAAAAGGTACAGTGTTTGTTTATTTCTTTTACGATATAAATAGTATTCAGTGGTGATGCGTAACATAATCAATCAGTTTCGCTGCCACTGATCTACGATATAGTCCCTCAAGTCCAATATCACAGCGTGTGTGATCGCAGTTAAAAATAATTATTATCATCACAAAAAAACATCAGGCTTCTTTTAAGTTTCTTCTTACATGTTTCGAAACAGGCTGGAGAATGCTAACACCGGCAATGCGATCAGCCAATGTCGGATACGCACCGGTAGCCATAAAACCCAGGAAATTCAGCAAACTGGCACCGGAAACCAAGGTCTGCACTAGTGGAGTACAGCACAGCTGCCACTGAAAATATCCACAAAATCACGATGCCAGCTCGCTTAATTTCAACTTTTAAATCTTTCCAAAGCGGTGCTGTGTTTAACAATCGCGCAACATCAGAAATTAGCGAAAAGCCTGCGCAGATGTTCTTGTATAACAAGTAAATTATTCTGGCCAATTTTCGTAATTCGTTTTCGCTGAATACACGAACGCAATCAAAGGGTAACAACAGGGTTATTTAAGGAACGTAAAGAAAACAATAGGGCTAATTTTTTTCCAATATTATTTTCGTTCTGTAACGCAACTAACCACGGTGGGCCAGAATCTCCGTATCCAGCCGCGGAGGGCGGGCAGGTAAACGGCCAAAATCAAATAAAGGACTTTCCGGAGCATTGATAATCGTTTCCCATTTTTATCCAGTAAATACAAGCGCTGTTGCTGCAGTGCAACGGTCGTATCGGACTGCACCAACGGAATCTGCAATCACAAAATAATTTTACCACATAAATATGTAATTTACCGGAGTAACTAAACACATCCAAAATACAGAATATTTCAAAGTAAAAACATAAAAAACAATTAGTTTTAAAAGCATTAAAATAAATAAATAGAAATAAAATGATAGACGTGAATAAGTCAAAAACACAAATCAAAGATTCCAAGAACACCTGAACTGAAAAAATTTAATTTTAAACAAATTTTCACTAAATTCAAAAATCGACCATTTAAGGTATTAATAAATCAAAAATTCCACCTTCAAAATGATAAAAACAATTAAATTTTGAAAGCATTAAAATGAAAAAATCGAAATAAGATGACAGACGTCACGCGAATAAGTTGGAAACATAAATAAACAAATTCAAATTAAAAGAGAACTGAAAAAATCGAGTTTAAATAAATTTTGAGTAAATTAAAAATTCGAAAATTTATAAAATTAAAAAATTAACATTTCCACCATTTATAACGATTTTTTTATTTTTTTTGGCAAATTTACCTGGGCATTTATACTGACGTACCGAGCACAAAATGGTTCGCAGCACAGCATCCACATATGAATTATGCGATCCCAGACGTAATTTCTGCAAAATCCAACATAGTCCTCCAGTGTTCGTACATTTTATGAGGGATTGCATGGATGTTTACCAAGTAAGGATCCAGGTAGAGCAGCCCAGCATCCAGTTGGCTCGTCAGTTCTTGAAGGAGTTTCTCGTCGCGCTGACGACATTCATACTGCAGATGACATACAAACTGCATGATCTGCACGAAAGCAGTTACAAAACATGCCAAAACCTGAGGAAAATCGGCCGTACCTTGACGGCTCGGACGGGATGACAGCGAATGACAGGACGACGTTGTTGTGGGAAGATTGGAGGGTCGCTGCACTCGCTGCTCGAGGCAGCTGCTGGCTCGTTCACGTTGCTCATGGTTGCATATCGGGCACTCGAGCACTTGCATACCCATGCAGATCCGCGAGAGCGTCGTGGATTCTTACAAAAAAAATATAAACTATGAGCTTATACAATACAAATACGGTAATCATCGGAAGTCAAAAGGATGAACAGATTTAAGAAAATGATAAAATCCAGTTTTGGTGTTGTCTGTGCTGCTCCGCTTTTTAATGCAGTTCAGCGTACGCCACTTACTGTATGCCAGGAGGCGCTTTTGAAAAGCAAATGATAAACATTTGGTTTTGTTCAGCTGGAGGTCTACGAGGCGGTTTGCCATAGACCCATGCTGAAAAAAAGTTAAGTTTGAAAACTAAAGTCTATAAGCAAAAGTTTTGATAAACGTTTGATTTGCGATTTAAGAATTTTTTTTCTGCAGGCGGTTTGCCATGGTACCACTGAATGAATTTACAAATCGAAAAACACAAACCTCAGCCCAACGCAGCTGTTTTGGTAATTCCACAAACTGCTTTTCAAAAGCGCCTCCTGGCATACAGTAAGTGGCGTACGTTCAGCCAGTTCTCGTAAGTGACGGAAGTCCGAAGTCGGTGCCATGTGGAGAATTGCTGTTGCCGTCGCTAGCGGTAGCCCTGGTATTCGTGGGCGAAAGAGCTGCCCGCCCTATGGACGCGACGCATTCTATATACGCTATCTTGCGGCCTGCGGGCAGCAGCTTTCTTTTCTTTCTTACAAAATTAACACTTTTGGAACAAACAGTCAGTCCACTTCCTTCGCTATGGACTGGATTGAAAATGTAGACTGTAGCGACTGTTCCCATTTCCCCCAATGTTTGTTCTCCTGTGCAGTGTGAACGCGCTAAAATCGTGCTGGCCAAATGCGTGAAATTGGATGTTACCGGTTAAACGTTTTCTCCTTCGTTTTTTTTTTATTTTTAGGGTTCGATATATGTAATGTTATATATCTGTAGGTACGTAACTTGACAATAAAATATGCTGACATGTTAAAATCCTTAAAAATAGTTGAGCGAAATGGTGGAAATTCTGATTTTATTAAGTAATATTATAAAAGTTAATCTTTATTAGGCAACAGCCATCAAATTAATATAGATACAAGGTGTGAGTGCGGGTACTCTACTTTACAGTCAAAATTTAAACATTGAAAAAACAACCAAAATCTCTATCCTCCCCGGAATTAAAAGGTAACGTGCTTAACACGGCCGTAGCATTTCCCTTACTTAATAACTGCCAAACTAAGCCAAATATAAATGGTTAATTTTTTTTAATATACCAAACTTTTATTAAATTTAAATTTTTAAAAGACCTTTCAGTGTATTGTTAATCGGAATTTTTAATTTGTTAAGAAAGAACAAAATCAGTAGCATTTTGTTTTTAATTAACAAGATTTACATAATTTTTCCCATACATAAGGAAAAAAATTACAGGTGATAGTTGGGTTCAGCGAGTTCCAAAAAGTTTTTAAAGGCAGTTTTACACAGTTAAGAATAGTAGCATCAACTGCGAAAATTCTTTGCACAAACAGCACTTTCTGTATAAAAAGTTGATACCGGTGCGTAGGCCCGTTATAGGCAACAGCCAAATGAGCACACGTGTATCTGTACACTACTGTCTCACCATAAATAATAACTGAAAATGATCTTTATTAGCACAAGCCAGTCCCAGTGCAAATTTTGTTAATAAAACAAGATTAATTATAACAGGAAAATTTCTCTTAAGTTGTCCGTTTCTTCCATAATTCCAAAAACGGCCACCGCATTTCCCCGTTGAATTTCGATAGACAGACGCTGGCGTAGAAATTCATGTAATCGACGTTCACCAGTGCTGCTGCAGTCGCTTGCCGATTTCCTTCACTAAGAGCGGATGCCGACTTTCCCCATGACCCGAGTGTTTCGAAGGCTAAGGGCGCGAAAATGTATCTGCCGTACAAACTGGTCTTCCTGTCAACTGGCATGGGCAGCGGCGGATCCAGCGGCTGCCGAAGTGGACTTGATGTGCGATGGGGCGACAGTGTCGACGCAAGTGACATCCCAGGCTAAACACATGCCACGTTTCCAGGCGAACGTCGTGCACCCGTCCGGGCGACGATCGGACGTGTGGGATATGTGCCGCGGGGCTCGAGCTTCGCTGGGATACCCGCCGAAACTAATGATCGGCAGACAGTACTGTTTAACCCGCCATGGCGAGCGTGTCTACTGAAAATTAATTCAATATATTTATCTGCGTTTTCTACCTTCTTAGCACTCAGGCTTGAGTGTACTTGATAATTGATCTCTGTGCAATGCGCTCAGCAATATTAATTTTAATAATTTTAACAATGTACAGGGGTGCCACGCCAAGTACGGGCAGTTTTCTTAAAATTTCCCAAAAATCACTCGCCACAAAATAACAAACATTTACAAGATCCCTGTGAGTGTCCAACATCTTTTGCACTTGAGACTTCTATTCTGGGAATGTGCCTGGGATAACTGTGGAAGAAAAACTAGGACAGACTAGCTGAAAAAAGTGGTTTGACCCATCGGACTTGTTAACCCCTGCCCAATTTAAAATTGGTTTAAAAATTCTGTTGATGTCCTAGTCTAAAAACAATAACTCTAAGCTGTTTGCCATTTAGTCCTTTTGCAAACTAGTTTATGCCACAGCCGATTTCAGTCAGGCGTTGGTGACCTTTGCAGTCTGACTGTAGACCCCCGAAAATTGGAGGGTGACCTCCTTTGTTTGCTCGCCGTACAGTCGCAGGGTGCCCTATGTGAATGTTTTTGGAAAAATCTCTTTCGATCCTGAAACACTAAGCGTCAACTTAAGTTTTTTTTATCTTCACAACAAGCCCGGGATATTCCGTTCCTAGTAGTTCAAACAGCGACTACAGGTTTTTTTATCTCCAGCTTTGTCAGTTTTTTGTTCACCTTATTTGGCACAACCATCTCCCCGCTTGCGCAATAGATTCCAGTCAAAACGTCAGAGTTGTATGATGTTATTCATGGGTCATCCACGGAAAATCTCAGTTCGAGGTTACCACAATACGTGCGCTAGGCAACCCTATTTTTCCTAAGGTGAGTTATAGCATACCAGTCTATAGGAAAGACACCTCATTTCGTGGCTAGCGGGGACATGGGTGGAACCCGATTTTTTTGCAAACTTGTAACTGACACCTTTTAGGTCTCGTAATAGTTTGCAAAAACACCTACGGAATAAAGTTTGTCGGTAATTGTTTAGGGGGGGGGGGGCAGTTATAAGCGGGCAAACTCCGACCACCACCCCATCCTCTAAATTACCGCTTGGCTCGCTACTGGCAATCCAGAACGTACCGGTTTTGACAGTTTTGGATTCGTAATAAAAAATTACATTAACAATGTTAGAAGATAAAAGCAAAACGATCATACAACTATTTTATAATTTATTTTATATACAACTGCCCGAACTTGGCGCGGCACCCCTGTATTTTGTTGTCAAGTAACGTACTGTATATAAAACTATCACACCCAAAAAAAATAGAGAAGAAATCATTTAAACGGTAACAACTACATTCAAGCATTTCAACATCAAAATTTTGTCGCGAAGGAGCCTGGAAGAATAAGAACTGAGAACAGCCGTTACACTACATTTCTCATCTATATCATAACGAACCGGAAATAGACTGCTATGTGTTGATCTCGTAGAAGAGAGTAATTTTTCATGCAAAATTTGCAAATTATTACTATCGTAATGATAACATTTGTTGCGTATAACGCTTGCTGATAGTTAATAAGTTGTTCGAGTAGATTATTCAATTCCAGTTACCGCAGCATTTCACATACTCTGTACTTCTGCATATGTACAGATGTTTGTGCAAAGTGCAATTGTATACTCTTATAATTATAGATATAGAACTTGCATGCAACCCAAAAGGCTGCTTACAAATACCTTCGCATTTGATTCAGTTTTTCGTTGCATCTCTTTGTATTGCTAGTATGAAAGCCAGCAAATTTTTTGTCCGGATTTCTTTCCAGGATGGAATACTACTGTCTCAGAGTCTCGAATTATATAATTGTGACATGAGCATAAGTTAAATTAACTGGAATTATATAATTGTGACATGAACATAAGTTAAATTAACTGGAGAAAACTGGATACCTGAACCTGTCATATGTACTTATTATTATTTACAAAATACTGCTATACATATATGAAAATATGCCGTATCTGTTTACTTAAGTAGAATTACGCGATTATAATTTGACTAACAGAATGCTGTATTTTGGGATGCCATGCCTCGCGATGCAATCATATACAGAACATATGTAAGTGCAGAACTTAACAGGCAACTTCCTATTTATCATCACTCTTCTGTATTACGTATGTAAAGGGTACAAAAGAGCGTATTGTACGTCTCAAGCCCTGCCAATTAACCACGTAAACCTTTCGCTAAAGTATGATCTGTACAGACAAAAGCCGGTAAATAAATCCAAACATCTCCGTTAACTAATCCGCATTCTGTCTCGACCACTCCAGCCCATAAAAGCTATTTACCTTGATGGCATTCATCCATTGTCCGCGGCAATGGGGATCAGTGTCGTTGGGACACGGTGCGCGTTAAGTGTATGCGCATACACAGACATTGTCCGCGTATACACGGATGATATCTTCCCTGCTGCCGGGAGATTATCCGCCGCCCGGCGCCGGGGACAGCCACTTGAGGAACGATGATGCCGCTGTATAGAGATGAGCATAGGACAATAGGAGATCACTTTCACTCTGCGTCATTGACACGGCCGACGCGCAGACCGCCAAATGACTAATCCCATCCATCCGGCATTTATGAATCTGCGGTAATGGACACCGCAGTTAAAAGACACTTCATTAAAACTCATCACTGGCGTTATCTGCGGACGAAAGCGGATTAGAAAGCAACGTCAAACCGGCGTAAAAGCCGATAATACGCCCGGCGTAAAACTTGCCGCGAAAGGTGCCGGAAAACTGGGGAAAATGAGGGGCGGACAATATATGTGGACCGGGATGTGCATTTGCCGGACAGATGTTACACATTGTTCGCTGATTACTCACCGCTGACAGGATTATCAGCCACATCATTTGTGCTTTACGCCTTTGTCGGCACTAACGTACATCCACTTTCCATATTTTCCAATCGATTAATTTTGCGAGGTTTATCCAAAAATTATTTTGAATTTATTATATATATAATAATATATTTACCATAGAATAAATTTTCTTCAAGTTCCGTTGTTCTTCTTGTAATTTTCTTACGCTTTAAGTAACGTGTTCTTTAAGTCTTTCTGTTATAATCCTACTTCAATTTTTGTTATTATTATATTGTTTGCATTGTTTTGTAATTTTTTGTTTGCAATTGAATTCTTATTTTTATAAAGAAGTGAAATTACGGTATACACTACTCTGTATACAGCAAGTCAGCAACTATAAAATTGTTAATGAAATATACGCAAAAACGAAATATACGAAATATGTTATATATATTTTGTTTAATTGCTTACTTATGTGTTTGCATATGTATATAAACAGGCATATTTGATTTATCGTATATTTTGTTGCGGTCAATTGTCCATGTTGATGACAATGTTTGTCGCAAAAAGGGTGCGGGCGCAGTTGCTAATCCGTCGCCTGACATCGGCAGCATCAAGAGTTGTGTTCCTTGATGAGACTGTCCGCATATTATTATACACACACATAACATACCGCTCGCCAATTATCAGCGTTGCCGGGATTTAGGCCATTTAACTTCTTAGGTTGTGCCCATATATCTCCATAAACAAGCGGATTATCCGCGAATGAGCAGCCAGATGTGCGTCGGATCGTCATGCACCGGGGCATTAACGAGCGTGCTTTATCCCCGGATTTCACCCCCGACATATGCACCTTGATGATTCAAACCCGGCTGCACAATCTGCTCCGCTGATCGTATCTTGTCGTTTTCGTGATTTTTGCTTGATTAAATTGTTTGTCAAATTTACCATTTAGAGTAATGATGCTAATACTCTGCATACATGTAAAATTCTGTTATGTAAACTGAGATAAATATTGTGCTTAACTTATTTTTCCTCTGCACATTCATGAAATTTTTTGCACAAATATATATAAAAAAATTTATTTTGTGACTATGGATGCGTTATATAAAATTCTGTTGCAAAATTTTGTATAAAAGATGTAGTATATTTAAAATTGTATACTCGTATAAAATTCTGTTGTATGTTCGTTTATATTTAATGCTATTTACGGTTAGTTGACGGATTTCGGATGCGGTAAGCAACTGCTACAGTCAATATATTGGTTTTTTAATAGACAGTAAAGACACTCCAAGTTATTCATAGAAAACGAATGACTTTGTCCAAACCGGTGCAATACATTATACAAATGACCTCACACAGCAGTCCTGCCAGTATTTGACGAAAAAACACAATCAAATTCTACCGATAATGTGACTTTGCCAAAGCACACACTATGTGTCTCATCAAGGGAAAACATTTGCGTAATAAAACTTTTCCTTATTGCGACAGCGAATCAAAATTTCCCAGCCGACAACGCTCAATGCATTCCATTTCCAAGAGATCGCGGAATCCATATACAACTCGCAGTTCATGTGCTTATTGCCGCGCCCTTCTTCTGTCCATCCTTGACCTTTCTCTCCAACCCGGTAATCATCTTCTCCATATTCCGCAGATCACTGCCCACCGCCTTTTTCACCGACGAGCTGGAGCTGACGCTGGAGCTGTGGGATTTCGGGGAGACACTCCGCGACTCGGAGATGCGCGTCGGCGACTCCGGGGACCGCGCGCTGGGTGACCTTTTGGGGTTCTGCGGCACCTGGTACGGAATGAAGCGGTGACCGCGCGGCAGCCCCAAATTGCCGCCCGGGAAGTTGTTGGAGTAGGGGTTCATCAGGCCCGCCGCGCCCGGGAAGGACATGGGGTGGTTGAAGAGGAAGTTGGGCGGGAGGTGGCCGAACGGGGAGGTCCCGGACGGGGATTGGTTGTAGAAGGAGTTCAGGTTGGGGAAGGGCGCGTTGTTGCCCGGCATCATGAAGCTGAAGGGGTTGGCGCCGGGCTGGTCCAGCCCCGCGGGTGGGAAGCCCGACGGGTACATGAAGGGCATCATGGAGGTGGGCACCGGGGGGAGGGAGCTGGGCGGGGCGAAGCGGGGGAACCGCGAGAGGTCTTCCGGAAGAGACGAGTCGGGTTTGTGCGAGGGTTTGGAGTCGTCGGATTTAGTGGCGGGGGAGGGGGAGCGGCGGGGTGAGGGGGAAGAGTGACGACGGGAAGTGGGGTCGTTCTCGTTGTCCGATGAATCGGAATCGCTGCCGTCGCGCTTTTCACTGCCTGCATAAAACAAATTTACCAGATTAATAAATCTCTGCTTTTGTAAGTTCTAGTTTATTTTGTTACTTACTTAAACGTAAATTTTTATTCTTAATAGCAAAAAATAATTTTTGAGTAAATAATGTAATAAGTCAGTTTTATGCAGAAATAATATTGTTTCTTAAAATCAAGGACATTAGGTTGTTAACGGTCATTAGGTCATTAGTCATACGAATGAAAAATTATATAATATACGCAAGTTAATTAATTTCGATGATGCGAGGAAAGCTAAGTGCGTTTGATGAGCTAAATTCCAAATTAGGTTCCCTGATCACGCAGAGGTGAATGGAAAAAGCAGGCCTGATCATGGAGCTGTCAGAAGAGATTAGACGCATTACACATCCAGCACGCACCTGCCCGCTGATGGGCGTTATTAATGCGGGTGAATCCGTCGCACTGGACGGTATTCTTCTCATCACGCGGCTGGGCCAGCGCCGCTTCACTGCCCTCCCGTTCCTCATCGCGCCCGGGTGCCGCCGGACTCACGGATGACGTGGAGGATGTGGATGAGTGTTCTTTGTGTGGCGGCGACGCCAGCCCCGTCCCACCGGCACCGGATGTGCTGAAGGAAGCGGATGTGGTGTGATGATGATGATGGTGCTGGTGATGATGGTGTGAGTGGTGGTGCGAATGTGCGTGATGCGGCTGCGACTGCATGAGACGCCTGCAAAATATAGACCGTCAATAATATATATACGCCGCAATCGGCCGCCGCAGCTGACGTAATCTACACGGGCTAATTGCGCGCGCCGGGTAATTTCTACACGGGATCATTTTTCATGCCGACCGCTGGTACATTAGCATTATGAATAATTGGGCATGTTTGCGAATAGTTGGAGTGATTCGGCTAACACGATGCGCCGGGGTAAATAATGGGCTGGCAAAGAGAATTAATGCCGCTTCAAGTGGAGCGTAGCGCGTTCATTCCCGCCGCGACTCCGCCCCGCTGCATTATCCGGCTTTGTGTCTAATGAGGATCAATTACGCTGGCTGTTTGCACACAACGCAGCAGCGCCGGCGCATCCATTCCGTTCGGCCGATCCCGGCAGAACAGAAGAGAATGCGGAATTCGCGGCCGAGTGATGGACAAATTAGCGGCTGTCTTGTTTCGGGAACAGTTCAGCTGCTGCACTTCTGAGTGGGACGTCTATCGAATGTCGGTGTTGCGAGGGATTCTCCCTAATCGAAACTGCTGTCTCCGTCACACCTTCTCAATTAACGCTCCATTCTTCGTGCTCAACAACAGCTACTTAGTGCAGTCAAAGCACAATATGTATGGCTGCGGAAACGTTACCGGCAAATTGCTATGTTATGAAACTTTGCTACATTTTCTTAAAATTATCACAGCCAGATTTATATTAGTTGCAAAATCTTTGGAAATACATAGTAGGACTGCATAGGTTATGGTCCATTTTGACCCTGATTACTCTAGTAAAATTGTTTTTATTAGCAGTTTTGACTTTTGCGCAAAATGCCCTGTTCTTTCCTACAGAGCTTTCGTCACGTTAATTTTGAAATCAGATCGTCTTGGTATCCTACTTATCTCGATTTTCACAGCAAAAAAATCTAGGCTGCTCTGATTCGCTCGGATGTCGTCTAAGCCAGCACGTTTAGCGGTCTTAATTAGTGTTTCCAGTGACACGACCAGTAATTATCCTCGTTGGAGCTTAATTTACCAGTGACGACAGATGAATGTGGCTGTCGTTAGCCGCAATTATGGTGCGTAATTCGAGCGCGTACTCACTTTTTCTCGCGCTTCCCGGCGCCGGTGTCGCGGAATCCCTTGGCGAAGGGGTTGTTGTCGATCTTCAGCTGCGTGATCTGTAAGAGAAGAAAGGTCACCGCTGATTGCTACGCGTGTCGTGTCGTGCGTGCTGGGACGGGCAACACTTCGCGCTGCGTCGACCAGCGCTTGTTCGACGCGGAGGCGTCCATTTTGCGCAAGGGACGCCGCAGAATGGAAGCATCTGCTGCGAATGAACCAACTGCGGAATGTGCTGAATCGCGGCCGGCGTTCCGCCTGACTGCGTCCCGCAACATGTCGTTGTGGCTGTGCGCTCGTTATTGTTGGCGGGACGCTGACTGAGTTTTCTGCGTGTTGGTCAGTGATGAATGGGCGTCGAATGCGGATGAGCGATGAAAAAGTGGCGCTGGCTGATGATACATGGTTTACGACGTGATCTGCGCTTGGCGAGCCGTTTGACAACAGCATCGGCCTTAATGACTTTCCGCACGCCATCGCGTCCCGAGCCGCTCTTCGGCTGTGAACACAGACGCTGACGCGGGACCATCGCTCTCCGCTGCCGGTGCGATGCTTCCCTTGAATCCCTTCCCATTAGCAATACACACTCGCTCGCCTCAGAGTTTAATGTCCCTCTGCCAACAGATTGACGATGCCGCCTAACTTATGTTTTTGCCCATTATAACCCGCCATCAAAATGCCACTGATGCATGAAAATCGCTCGTCATAATAACGAGCGACTCATTAATTCATAACCATGTAACGGCTTCATGTTTATCGTTCATGTAAAATTAATCTCTAGGCTGTATGAAACTGTTTGGTCGATCAATTTCCTTAGTGCAGTTGCTTTTTGACCGCAACCGATAACCGCCGCTGTTTGTTCAATTTCATCAGAGAAAGTGCTGTTGGCATAATCGCGATAGCCGCGTTATTCGGTCAAAATGGTTTTGTCTAATTGATGCTGGCAGTGCAGCTGGATGCTGAGCTTGTCTTTAACCGCTACAAACTGGTTTAACCTGCCAACCGCGGCGCTACCGATACCGATTTATCGCATTCTCCTGATGATCCGTCACGACAGCGCCGTTGTGGGGTTGATTTTCTGTTGGCTGCCGTGCAAACACGGAGCAAAGATTGCCACTGACCCATAATACCGGTCGTGCACGCCGCGTCGATATCAAAAGCATCCACCTTTGCGTGTGTTTGTATATTGTGTGTATGTGTGTGAGCGCACAGATTGAGACGATTGTAATTAGGATGGAAAAGGGCACCACTCACCTTCTCATTTTGATAGGCTGTCACTGCAAAGAAAGCCGATATTAAGAGTGAGGATAATAATACACAGGGCAAACGTGGCGCCACCTACCCGCTACAAACTGGGTCTCCGGGAAGACGAACGACCGGCAGGCACTGAAGAACACCCGGCTGAGGTCACTGGCCCGCACAATGTGCAGTCGTGGCTGGTATTTGTGCATGGAGTTGAGGATTGTCTGCTAAGGAAAGAGAAGCAACAATAGTGTTAACATTCCGTAACTTTGGGCTTGTATTTTTTAAGGTTTTACGATTCAGCAAGTTTTTGCTACGATCTGTAAAATTACTCTGCTTAGTTGAACGGAAAAACCTGCGCCACGAAACTAGGTTAGTGACTGTAGAGAACCGTTTAATTACAATGCATGTTTTCGCACGATGAGCTGTTGGACATGAGGGGGCGTGGCCAGCGGGTACATGTGAACGGTGTTGGAACAAGGTAGATCGTTCTCAGCTTTGGCGGCGTGTTTACCCAGCACTAAGTGTCAAGTGGCTGTGCCGAGGTAAAAAAGGAAGCTTCAAGTGTTGCCTGTTGTCACAACATGTCGCACTCGCGCCGCTTCAAGGTGGCCGCGCTCAGCCACCGCCAGAATTACAGCTGTATCATTCGGCTGCATGTGTGTGCGCGGACACTGTCATTAGGGAGGCGCTCGACAAGCCAACAACCGCCACGAAGCCGGTTAAATGAAATGGCGAGAACGCAGCAAAAAACCGCCGTGGAAGACTGGTTGCTGACTTGCTGTGTGTGTGGCACTCGGCCGACTTGACCGCTCGAGTGGCGGGAAAGGCGGCAACCTGGACGGGCCAAAGACCGGCGATCTGGTTTTTGTACAATGAAGGAAAACATATGTTTCGCTGTTGACCTTTAATTAAATGCCTTTAATGAGCTTTTGATGGGGCTATTAAAAAGGATTTAACCTGAAAATTCATTGCTGGACAAACACGTAACTTCTGCTTTAAAAGTCGAACAGATTCGCGTCATCGTTGCTCCCGGCATATTTCAACAGTGAAGATCGCTTCTTCAGCAAGAGACATTTTATTTCCTTCAGCAAACTTATACGGTATTTTTTTTAAAACAACTGCTGCTTTAATTGCTTTCGAAAGGCGCTAGAAATAAATGAACAAAATTTTACTGTTAAGGTTTATTATGCGAAACCGCTCGATGATCAAAGTACGCGGGCGTTATGGTAAACTTGGAAAATACAATTCCCAGCGGATGCGTATAATGGCATGTGTTTGACCAAACGCGAGGCTCTTAACGGCCTGCATTACAAGCACTCAGATGACAAACAACTTCTCGCTCGACTCATGTCCAGCTCAGCGCAAAAATAACTTATCCGCAAACAAATTAAACAGACTTGAAACAGCGATGGCAGTTGCCTGACGAACTGACGTGTTGAAATTTCCTTAATACACTTGTTGTTGCACTGGCCCACTTAAAGCAAAAAGGAAATCACTGCTGTCGGCGGATTACAGAGAAAGAAAACAGCTAACGTGTTGAATTAGCGAATTTCTGACAGTACCTTCACACAAGTGCATTTTATCCGTGTTATAGCATAAAACAAAAAATTCCTTTTTTTTTAAATTCATTTACCCATAGATACATTAAAAATAAATTGTTGACCGATTGACCTTTCAGTTTTGCTGAAATTTAGAAAAACATTTACATTAGCTGATAATTTTTTACACTTTGTCATAAAAGGCGAAACCAGTTACAAGACATTAAAACGAATACGTTGTAGCTGATGTCGATTAGGATACCCCACAAACGAGTAACTTGTCGGCACTTAATTGCCTCCATGGAAAATCTAGACCGGTCTCAATTGGCGCTTTTCTGTCATATTTTCCTCTCAAAATAACCTGATCGCTTTTTAACGAGCTCCGCTGGCCACAAAGGCAGCGTCGCAGCATTTGCAATGCAAAAAAAGGGAAGCGAACAGAATAAATGAAGACCCCGGGAATGATGACTCTGAGGAGCAGTTTTGACGCAGTAACCGATTGATGGCCGAGGTCGTGTACAAAACGGCGCGGCCAACAATTGGCCGAGGGATCGATACAGCTGCGCCTCGGCGAACGCATCCATAACGTTTGCCACTACTCTCTGTGTGTTGGATGGATGTTGCGTTAGGGACGCGTATCGATCTGTCCTTAACAGATATCTGGTGCGTCCAGGCGCCGAGTGTGATGGGAAGGCGTTTAGGGAAACGAGTGGCGAAGGGAGTTTGTGGTGCCGAGAAAAGAGCCATCCATCACGGGGAAGGGAAGAGCGGGAGCGGGCGATGGGAAGAGGAAGGAAATCTCCTTTGCACATCCGTCGTCCTCCTTCCACCGCGCATCACACACACACACACACACACCGATCGACGCGGCCGACGGCGGAGAGAAGAGAGCAACGACAGCGCGGGATGAAACAGCTTCACTTTATTCTCTCTCGCTCCACATTAACGCTAACGTCCGCGGCGCTAACACTAACGCAAACGGAAGGGAAACAAATCCCTCAACGGTGGCCTGCTGCGCCGCGGAGCGGAGCAGAGCAGCGCAACAGAGACCGGCTGCGCTGGATAAACAGATGAGCTTGATTTATCTATCCAAAGAAGCTTTTCTGACAACGCCCGGTCCAACGCGCGAAACTCTATCCTCCACTTTCCGCATTTGCTATCGATCTTTGCGCTCGCTGGGGTTAAAAATCTCACGGTATCCTAAAGTAGTGTTTCTCTTCGGCCCTAACCTAAATCGACCCAACTTAATTCTGGCGAAAACATTCCGAGGGAATTTGTCCAGTGAATCATTTTAAAGAAAAGTCAAGGTTTAAACTGTTCACGGTGTTATGGCGTGTGTAGTAACATCCTAAATAAATATTATATTATTCACACATAAAGGCGCATAATACGCGCGCACCGGCGGCGCCGCATTCTTTCCCCATTGATAGAACCTGACACATTTGCCGAGATTAAGCTTCAAGTGGCTGTATTGAAAAGCCCCGGTACAACCGGTCGACGCCGGGGTTTTATAATTGTGTACCGATCAACATGGCAGCAGCACACAAAATGTCAGCTTGTTTTCTATTATCACCGCACAACAAAAGCCCAGAAAGAGTTTCGGGTGTCGATGACGCGCTCCACAATACCCGCATCGCGACAGTTAAAGGCGCGAAAAATAAAAGAAAAGCCTCTGAATGGGGTGTGTGTTTTGTTGGATTTTTCTGTGCATTACCTGTCAAGAGGTATTGATAGCTGGCTGCTGACAAAGTCAAAAATTTCCACCACACGACAATACGACTGTTTGTTCTTGCGCCACTATGAGTCGTTGATGCGGAGAGAAAGAGAGAAACGAGACAGTAGAGAACAGAGCTATTCAACGCGTAGTTGCAGCTAATTTGCAGATTAAAAACCGGCCACATCGCGTCCCCGCTGCAACATCGATCAACACGAAAATTATCGCCTTCGATTAAAATTAAGCTGCCCTCAACTGAAAGAATGGTTGTAACATAGAGAATGTCGACTGTATAACCGGGTAAGTGGCATGTTTGGCCAGTAAACACCCCGGTTATCGTCGAATACGGAGCGTAGTTCAATGAATTTCAAACGAGATTTTAATTTTCATAATTAAATGCTTATTTTTCACTTGAAAATTGTGTTAATAATATTTTTCCCACGTTTCAATATGCTGGGAAAATCGTACCGCAACACTTTAAATAATTAAGACATTATACACACAAAAATAATTTTAATAAGAATTCGTAGGAAAAATTAAGCAAGCAGTTTTCCTGTTTAAGTGTTGCACTTTTCTTGAATAAAGTGGAATAACGCGTTTGTCGCGTAGCAGCAAGGCGACAGCCTAAAACCGCGACAGCCACTCAAAGGCGTTAATTTGCTCGTCAACGCGCTGTATGTACACTTACGAAGCCGTGCTTGTCGGAGATGTTATTGGTCAGTTTGAGTTTATGGAAAGAGACGATCTTTTGCATCCACTGCTCGCCGGTGCTGGGTGAATCCGGATGAATATACATCCGTTTGGGCATCTCGGGATCGGCTTTTCCCGCCACCATCCAGCGTGAATTGTGAAATTTATACCTGCACGGAACAATTTACCCCGACCTGGGTTATTAATTATTCACTGTAAAGTGCCATCGGCTGCCTAACGATAATTATTGCGAATCGATCAATTGCTGCTGGATTACACTTTTTACACTTACCGTGAAAATTGCTGCTGGATTACACTTTTTTCGGCTGCTGTTCTTCAAGATATTATCGCGCACCGCGTCTTGGCAGCCGAACAGTGCATTTAAACATCTGCCGGGCGCATTAATAAAATATGATATTTTTCAGCTCTACCGATAAGCATCTCGTTCGCTTTTAATGGACACTTTCTCATGCGCACAAGGCGACGATAATAAGTGATCAATTCATTGCCGATAATGATCTTACAGAGACAATTCTCGCACGAAAACAGCCATAATGCACCTACCGGCAGTCGTCCGCAGGCACGATATCCAATAGAAAACAATATTTGGCGCGTTTGTCCAGTCCGGATACTTTGACTTTGTACGAGGGAAACATGCGTCTGTTGAAAGAGAACATTTTAACCGATTGTTTTGTCATTAATATTCGTCTACCATGGCTATTAAAACGCGTCGTTTATTTGATTAATCTGATTATCAATTAGGCAGTTATTTCCTTGTCATTGTCACACTGTCGTAAAAAGTCGTAAAAATGTCCCTATTTGGAAGTAGAACAGCCGGAGCCCTCTCTTTCTTTTTTACGAGCGTTGCCTTGCGCCAAAAACACGACGGCCCGTGGTTTAACTACGGCCGGTCCGTAACAAAGATTTATGCGACCCAGCATGAGACTGTACAGTCAGCGCCGTCAAAAGCCGAGAAAAATTACGATGGGTTGCGAGCAATTTAGCACTGTATGATTATATCACGCAGGTAGTGCATAAAATTAAAAAAAAGCGGTTAGACAGGTGTTTGTACAGTGCTAAGCGCAACTGTGCCGCGGCGCCCGGTGACAAATGTTGGCGCTGCGGAGCGGTAATTGCATTGACAAGCTGTGTCTCTGTATTAGAGCACAGCGCGCTGCTGAATACAGCAAAAATCGCTGCCAATGCGCGCGGCTGGGTTTATTTTCAGGTCTAGCTGCTAACAAATGGATTCTTGATTTATCTCACTTTTGCAACATTCATCATCCGATGGCTGGCCGTTTATTTCAGCCTGGGCCCATTCTCCATTTTGACATTTTTTCTGCCTCGATACAAACAAAAATTGCCAATAATTAACTGTCATAATCAAGCGGACGCGAAAAGGCGAAACGATTACAATTGCTGTGTTTTCGTGTTGCGGTGTGTTTTCAGTGCGAGAGGAAAAATGGCAACGGAAGGGTTTGGCTTTTGTTTGGCCGCATAATCAGCGGCACAATCGAGGCTTCGGCTATTGTTCACCAGCGACTAATTCGTCAATAATCGTGTCAATTTTGGCCGCAAAAAAAGAGCGTGCGAGAAAAACAACCGGCCGGCTAATCCGCTTTAACATGTCGTGCGAACAAACTCGTTAAAAATCAGCCGCGATGGTTTATATTTTAAAGCACTAATTAATTAACCCGGCGGATAAAAGCCGTGTAATAATAATATTTGGATTTTTTGTTTTCGATAAATTATCGAAACGCAGTTATCGTCTTTAACAGAAGTAATCCCAAAATATTATGTTGCTACATTTCAGCGCTATTATCCATTCAGCGGATGATCATCCGCTATTATTGGATTAACGCTGTACAATCCGAAATAAAATGTAAACAGCAATTATTCCAGCGCCGCATACATATATAGCCGGCGCACCATACAGACACACTGCGACCGTGTCGACGATTGACAGCAATTAAGTCGCTTACAGGTCAGCGCATTCTCTAAGCGCGAACTAGAATAAATTTATCAACGGCAAACGTGCAAACAAATGAACGCCCCATTGCGCCTTGGCTGTGTTAAGAAAAACCCGACCGCAATTACCGAACAGGGGAAGTACACCATGTAACAACTACTCTGTGTCGTTGGTGATCCAATTTTAGCCAACCCCATTATACGGCCGCAACACTGGCGGGCAGTCCTAATTAAAACCCCATTATATTTGAGGATGTTCCTGTTGGCCAAACACCCGTGCTCTGATGCTACTGTGTGTGTGTCGCCCAGTGTCAATATGCGCCCGGCTAACAGACGGGGCGTTGCACACACGGATGCTGCGGATGGGACTCTATGAACTTGCGCTGATTTGTTTACATAGTATTTCCAAAACGACTCTCTTTCTCTCTCTCGCGCGCTCTCTTCTCGGCTCTCTCTCAACAATGGGCTGGCTTGTCAGAGGCATGTCGATAGCAGCTGAATATGTCTCCATTTCTTCCCGCAGCATATTAATTAGCCGACAACAACTGTATCATATTTTCTAGGCGTTGGTAGAGCATTAACTTTATCGGCCGAATTTCGCGATATAAGATTTTTAAATTCAAGAAAAATTATTTTTCAAAATTCAGAGAAAATTATTTTGTAAATATTTCTGCCGGCAAACTGACAGGTTGAGTTTATTTATACAGGGCAGTCGTTGTCGAGGCATCAATGGAAGGGATGATAACGAGATGAGAGGGATGTACCCGAGCAATCGAGTCCATTGTCTGCCGGCCGTGTATCGCGCACACGATTCTAATTCAATAACAAGCTCCGGAAAGTAATTAAAATATCAACAACTAATCTCGCATTATGCGCCGGTCCATACAGATGCCAGCCCCGCCGATCGATGGCATGTCAAATTCCAAATGGACATGCGCAACATTATTGCACCGTTTATGCACATATTCGTTAATTTGTAATGCACTCAAACACTTATACACGGAACCGGGGAAAATATTCTAATGTCGCAGTTGAGAGTTCATACTGCGAGATTCAACGCCCACGCGGAACATTACGTGAAATATTAATGGAAAAATATTCTAACGGCGTAAATAATCGTAATTGCGACTATTTCGATAAAACAAGATTTTTAAATTCTGGCGGAAACTGCTTATGTTAATATCTGGTGAGGAAGACGTAAGCGTGATGAATGCGCGGAATAATGCGACACATTCGCACATATTGTATTATGCTAAGTAATGTTTCCATGTTGGTTTAGCGATATTTTGCCATTCCATCATCGGATTAGCGTCACGACAGCCGCAAACAACGCCGCTGCAGCGACTACCTGAGCGGTTGCACTGCGTTATTAAACGCCGCAACTATGCAATCTGCCAACATCTTCGCTTTGCATTCTATCAATCGCGCACTGCTCCAATTAAACGCGGTCTAATCCGCCGCGCGACTGTTCACTGTGGACTGCTTCTGTAAAGCATAAACAGATTCCTCGCTGCAAAACCAGCGTCTTCGCTTTCGACCACACAAAGATGCGGAGGATCACGTTTCCCGAATCAACAGTCGCCCATTCTTCGGCCGCACAATAACACACTCTGTTACACATTATATCAGCGACAAAGCTGCCGCTGTTCCTGCACGCGTCCATTGTTTACGCCGCGGACACTCAGTCGTGGAAACAGAAACAAATGCAGCGCGGCTGCATTTTAAACTGTCTTGCATCGGAAGATGCAGAACTGCGCTGCTGTCGCGCTGGGTGGCATTGCGTTGCGTTGCATTGCGCTGATGAGCAGCCTGATCGATACACTATCGCTCATTCTATCGCTGCATTCATCAGTGAGTGACCTTTCGCAATCGAAGCGCGCTGATTAGATAGGCATCGCAATTTGCGGCCAAACATCATCATTCCGGACTAATATACTGCTGGAATGTCCGATGCCAATCCGACGCTGCCCATCAATTCATTCAAACCGGAAAATTGCGCGGAAATGTATGACGTAAACAATCGCAACTTCTTACTAGTACAGTCATATATTACATTATTATTCATAAAATCTTTTGATGGCTCTGAACTACTCGCATTTCCTTCCCGTTTAGCTACAGAAAACGTTGCATATGCTTTTACGTAGGTAATCATAAAAACGCAGGCACAATTCACTCAATATTACTTAAAAAAGTGAGGCATTTATCTTATGTAGACTAAATAATATTATATTATAGAAGTTATAGAAGTACAGAGTACATCTTTATACTGCTCGTATTCTTTGTGCTCATATTAATGCGAAAAGCAGTAATGTAAAAAATTCTGTAACCCTGGACAATCTTTTTATGACATTAAAAACGTTACATTTGCTAAACATATGATAATCTATTGATGCCTAGGTGATCTACGCTGTAGGTAGTTGAGTATAAAAACCGTGATTGACACGGATAGAGCGAGTAATAATAATGGGCAAATATTATGCAAAGCTGACCATCAATTTTGCTTACCTGCCGCTTTTGGTAATCACTGCCGATCCGAATATGTCAAAGAGAAAAGGCGCCGTTAGATCAAATGATGCGTGTAAGGCATCGCAGTTGCCGCGATGTTCACATAACAAGTAGCACCGATGCATTCTCATCGCGATAATATAAGTCAAATCGGAGGAATCTTCTTCGAATAAACACCGACATTGCAAATAAACCAGCGCTTACCCATTTCCGTGCCCAAATTGTGGAACTCCGTCCACAACTCAGTCTGGTCCAGCTCCACTTTCGGGTCGTCCTCCACGTCGTCCTGGCCCGGCTCCACCGTCCGCACCGGCCGCTGGTGCGCGCCGAAGTCCAGCGGCGCCCCTCCGCCCAAAAGGGAGGGGCCGGAGGGCGCCCCCGGGGGAAAGGGGGCGGGGAACTTGTTGAAGAAGGGGTTGGAGAAGGAGTGCATGGGGAACGGCGGCATGTGCGGGAAGAAGGGGTTGCCGCCCGGCAGCGAGTGCTGCGGATGGGCGGGGCCTCCCGACAAAATGGAGTTCATGGAGAAATCCGGGGGGCCGCGGTGGGCCGAGGAGGGGGGGAATAAAAACGGGGGATAGGCCATTATATACGCAGATTAAGCGGGAATCAAGTGACCTTTGCCGCTAGCACGACGGCATCGTCGGGCGAAGTGGGAGATGATTAAAATGCACCTTCTGACACGCTGACAAACGCTTAATGTGACGGCCGCTGGGATTTCAATTGGATTTCTTGCGCGGAATTGAAGACTTTGGCGCGTCAAGCTTCTCACTCGCTGTTTGCCAATTTTTTCGCCTTAGAAACATCATACAATCAGCAACGTACGCATTAGTACAGCCGACCGACAGCGTGAACTGTTACAGTGGCGTTTAAGCTGGTTTTCTCTGTCGGCGTGAGCTTTGTGTGCTGCGCGTTGTACGAGCGCCATTAATACGTGCGCAGTTGTATCCGGCGCAAACAGTAGCCAGCGAGAGAGAGATGTGAATGAGTGAGCGCGCGTGAGAGGAAGGCGCGAAATAAGAAGTGCGGGGCGGCGACGCTTCCAGCAGCCAACAAGCAAAGCGATCGACACGTACGGCGTACGTACGTGAATTAAAAGTGTGCGGAAAGCGATTGCGTTGCACGTCAGGCGCCAATCGGTTGGCAGCTGACGAATGGGCCAATCGGTTAGTCGGTGTTAAATCAAACAGGGTGGCGTCGACGGAATCGACTTCTCACTCGCTCGGTGTTTTGCACAGGCAGCGCGCATATGTGCATGTGCACTTCACTACTTACAGGGAGTGAACGAGCCACGCGATAATCAGACTTTTCAGTGGCAATTCTTGCACATCAGGGCCTTTTTGCCGCTATTTAAATACATAGAGAGGACAGGAATAAAATTATTTCTTATACCTACTTCATCTGGCGAATAAAATTCGGTATGCCAAGACAAAATTGTGCTGCTACCAATTTTGATTATTATAATTTGGAATCGTAGTCACGTTTGTTGTATACGAAATAAATACTAATCTTAAAAAATTCCACCTAATGCACGTCTCATTTTACGAAATAAATAAATTAAATTTTTCCCAGTGAAAACCATGATAGGGGAAATAATATATGATTTGTATGCTTAAATAGTTCAAATGTCATCATAGCGCAACTGGGTTGGTGCTATAAATTTGCGCGTACTACGTGGGAAAATGTGGTGCTGTGCAGCATCTGCGTGGAGTAATATGACAGCGCGGACAGGCGACATCATCGAGGAAGACGAGCTGAATTAGGAGTAACATAAGAATAAAAGAGTGATAACAAGTGTAAACCAATCCTGAAGAGACGAGTTGTTTAAATTCTGTCAGAATGGAGCAGCATTGTGTGGCGAGTGAATAACGTGTATAATGCCGGCGGAATTAAGCAGACTGCGCCGGTTGTGCATGCGAATATGGGTATCTGTGTGCTTTTAATGGACAGACACAAAAGCCGATAACAAAACCGAGCGACTGATCTGTCTGTCTTTGCAGCAATTGTCAGCCAACACACTGACTTTAATCCTGTCGGCAAACGCTGGCTAATCTCTCACTATCGCATTCGCATCCAAATCCCGCAGCAAATTATACAAAGCCGGCCCACTTCCGGTCGCATCCATTTTCAAACAGATTTACATCTTTGCTCTAATATTAAATGTATTATGTATCCATTTCAAGGTTTAACTTTCTCCAGTGAAAACAGTCCTAATTTGTTGCGTTTTCCTTGCTGGTCAATATGCTTTGTTATTAATTGAATAACTATTATGAGTTTGCTAATTCACTGTGCGCATTATCGTTAAATGGTACACATATGTAAATTCCGGATAATGAGCGGTCCATATCGGCGTCATGACATCCTTTTGAAAGTCAGATGGCGTGAAGGAGTGGATGACTCTCCAGTGCGACAATAGCCGGCATTGTTTTTCAAGCAGGCTCATTTCCATAAAGCAGCTTTAATGAGAACCAATACATTTCACGCTCCTTCCTCTGCCGAGTTCATCTGACAGTAAATCTCGTACATCTCCGAAATATGAAGACGTAAAGATTAAGTAGCCCTAATCAGAGGATGATCTCTAGATATTGTCGAAGAATGCAGAAATGCGTTTTGCACCGATAAATGCTAATTTTTCGTCAGGTGCCGGTAGAGCGTTTCGCCGTATAGTGTATCGTCGCGGTCGGCGAGTGTCAGCGATCCTTCTCGTAGGTGGCACACGCACTTAATAATCGCTGAATTATTCCACCGGCCATCAAACCCCAACCTGCAACGCCGCGATTGAAATCATGGCTTCAGAGTGAACGGGCAACTTTGGGCTGTTGATGCGCTGTATGAATGAACCGATCAGTATCCGAGTGTTTTATGGACAGCGGAGTTTCCGGTCAAGAGCAGTCGCGCTCAGCTAGTTATATTTTTACAGTAGCAGATCATTGCACTTCATAATACACACCGCAAAAAAGGCCCTGGAAATAAAGAGTTAATTAAGCCACAGACTTTGTTCTTAACATACAGCATAAATTATATTCAGTCTCGGTACATTTCAGTGCGCAAAAAGTTCTTGGAAGTTAAGTGCCTAAAAAATTATATTAATTTACTATTATTAGTAAACTTATCCGGATATCCGTTGATACAAATCGGCACATATCCGTTGATATAAGAAAAGTTAAAATTTCATGTTGTTGAGTAGAAAACAGCTAAAAAATTCACGGTGAACGCAAGAATAGTTTACCATTTAACGATACCTGATACTGATTAGACGTAAAAACAGTTCCCTCGGAATTTTTATGACCAGTTCATACGTCATATAATTATGAATGCCTACTTCTCTGCCAAAGCATGTAATGGCCGTGTTTTCCTCGCTGTCTCTCCATAAATTATTTTGTTCATTACGGATGCAGTCCTTGTAGTGGGCACACTGAAGAGGTGTCAGGGACGAAGAAGCCCGCCGCGACAATCTGGAATGAGAGTGCGACTAATGTGTGTTCGTGTAAGTAGCCGCGGCGCCGACTTCCGACTTATACCTGGCCACGCTGCACTGATCAGACGGGAGGCAAGTACTGGCTTGCATTAATGCAGCAGCTTGACTACATGTTTGTTGCCAAACAGCCCTAATCCTGTCTTGTCTTATTATTACACAGCACACAAATTATCCATGCCGGTTTTATCGTTTTAATCAACTTTTCACTTTTGCCCCGGCTATGAAATCTCATCACGTAATTAATTTTATTGGAATTTCGATTGTAAATCTTCAGATAAATTTATGACTCTTCACAGAAGCAAAAACATTCATGTCACAGTCGGTTAATTACGTAAGCGGCGTCGTGTTTGCAGTGTGCCGGTCAACGCCGGTGCGCACGGAGAGTAATCTTGTTAGAGTAATGAGTGTTTTCCTTATAGCCTCATTACGCGCCGCCGCAACGCTGGTAGTCCCGTATAGTGAGTGTCCTCTTCACGGCACAACGGATGAGCAGCGCCAACGTGCCGCGCGACGCATTGCCGCATTATTGACGGCGGATTAAGGTGAGCCGGTGTAGATATAATTCCGGTTACCCACGACTGGGATGCTCACTCGCTGATCAGAGTGGGCTGATCGCCAGCGCCAGTCATTCCGCACTTGATCGGCTGCTGCCGTTCAGTTCATTACCGCCGCTCTATGCAGGGCCGCTATTGTTCATACCGGGTGCACTTCATTAGCCCCATCAGGTTAATGATGTCGCCTGCATCGCTTCTGTGCACGGTTTATGACTGCCCAATCGTTTTATGATCTGGCTACCATTTCATCTGGCTACCAGCTACCTACCATGGCTACAGGGCGACTGTCAACAGAAGACAGATCATAAGTCATAAATAACGTATTTGGCAGCCCTTATAAACATATCATATTAAATTTTTATTGCAAATGTCAAAAACTAGAAGATCATTATTTTAAAAGTTAATTTTGAATAAATTTATTTTGGTTCTACCAGTGCGTGTTAGTATGTGAGCTGAATTTCCCAATAAAATCCGTTACGAGAATTACATGTGTTTGTATATATTTAAATTGAACATTGTTAATTAACTCTTCAAAGACTAAATGTTTTATAATATTATATATTAATTTCGCTGAAGTTTTCATTAAAGGTTTACTATACGTAAAGCCTGGACAAAATATGTATGGAAAACTTGAAAAGTCAAACGGTGTAATTTTGGCCCACAATCGGTGTTTTTGACATTTATTGCCGTTAGGAGCAAAATCTGATTATACACCCGTGCTGGAAAATCGGGTGTAGGTTTCGCGTTTGATAATGGTGGGAGAATGGTAATTTGGCCGGCTGAGAGTGCGGGCTATAAACCGGGGCTGACGTAAACAAGGCTGCTGATGCCCGGTGTACACGAGGCAATAGATCATAATCGTGTGGGTAATTTTCTGTCACACCGGTGACGGCTGCGGTGACATATTAGGCCGGACGCAGGTATTTCAACTTGTCCAGCCAAGCAGCACTTAACTCCGTCCGTTTATCGCGCTGTGTGTGCAGCTAGCTGCCCCTCCGAGCTAGGTCAGCCGCCCCACCGCTGTGCAACAAACAGTGCGAGTATTTCTCACGCCACATATTGCGGTAAGAGTCAGCGGCGGCACTGACGATTGCGCCGCAAATCCATCTTGTGCGTGCCGCGCCAACAAACAGATGCCTCCCTCGGTGAACAATCCCCGCGATCTCAATATGTCGCACCTGAACAGCGGATTGTGCCCCTGTTTTCCACGTAACTGCACCGTTTTAGGAAACTTATCCGGGTGGAATTATAATTTTAATCCGGTGCGATTTTCCACCGCGATAAGTTTGGAAAATCGCGTTTCAAAAGATTGCATCGCACATAAATATTTTAAACTATACAGAACAGATTTCTCTGTACATATTTCTTGACGCAGGCTATTGCGCTTAACGCTGTCCTAACACACGCTCTGTGTGCGTAATGAATATTCATGACCTTATCTCACTCCCGCGCTTCCTCTGTCACAGACCAACAACGCATTGTAATCGCTGTAATTTTTGTGAATAATTGCCGCGTAAGTGCCCATTGAAATCGGCCTGGACAATTAGTGTGATTGCGTGGAAAGCGACAGCGCAGGAGTCAAGTGCGGGGGAGTGGCGGTGGTGATGCAATAAGCCGCAATTGTCATGATAATTCGCTCCTTATGCACAACACGCGGTTTAATTCACTGGCAGTCGTGTTACATGATGTTTGCCTGTCTGAACAAATGCACGCGTCCGATGCTCTGGTCTTCCGTGTCCCAAAAGGGGAAACTGGATCAACCAAGCATAGGCATGTTATCTACTCGTCTGTAACCTTTGTTCCGCCAAAGACGCTTATGCAAAAGCGACCCCAGGAACAAAGACTACCAGCAAATTAGCGGAAGCGTAACATTAGGATTAAAATTACTGTACAGTTCAGGCCAATACGACTACTTAAATCCAACGG